ACCTAAGTGCAAACAAAACAATACACTTTAATATGTTGGCTTTGATTCAAAGTTGAAATGGAATTATGCTGTGATATGATTTACAACTGGTATAGTCTTTACCATTCTTGCAGAATTATTCTTAATGACTCAGCAGTCTAATATCATTGCATATTTGATCTTGAATTACATTATATAAACTATCAAGCTTTGCGATCTCTGTGATCCCAAAAGTGGCTTGTAGTTGATAAAATATTGATCACACTTCAACTTGGTACTGCTAGTCTCGTTTAATCTCCAATTAAATCTGCAAAAAACAACACTTGTCCAGCTAAGTCAGCTGGAAATTTTCCCAGCACAGGATTCCCTAACACAACCTCAGCAGAAGAATACCTATATGGATGCTGGGTCATATACATGGGCACCTGTGCACCATACTAACTGAACAAAGTGGAATCCTTGACAACGTCCATATTGAATCTCATAATCATTCAACCTCTTTCATACTGATCTGGAAAATGCAAGCAGTCAAAAAAAAAGAATGTCCCATCTTCAACTTAGTAGAAACAATCTGGCCCCATGCAGTTTAACAAAAAATCTTTAGTCTGTTGTATTGACTTAAACTCAATTACATACTGATTTAACAACTTAAGTTGAGTAACAAGTTGCGTTGTGTTTCCTGAACTTTTAATCAACTCATCAATTATCATAACCCTCAAAGCTTCAGTTAAGTCAGATTATTTGAGACAGCTAAGAAACTACCTTAAACTTTTACACAAATATGGCCAAATTTATGAGACGCATTGAATGTATTCCCAGACACCATTTTTTTTCTCTTGCCAAGAGCGTAATACCAAATAGAATCAATCCTCTTGATTTTTTGTCATGTGCAGGAGTAAGAGAAAGTTACAGGTTTGAATCCGAGTTCATACACTTCATGCTTCAACTTATTTCAAAATCTATTGAGTTTGAAACCTTCAGATTGTCACCCTTCCAACCCTTTATTTTCCTTCTTGTGACACTGAATTTTTCCCCTGGCGGGACACATTACTTGATATTTGAAGACAGACATGGAGTATCAAAATCATCAGTTATTAGGGCAATCAAAAGAGCATCAACAGCTATATGTGCTTTAAGGGAGAGTAATACATTTAAGTAAGAGAAATACATTATTTCCTGTCAAACAACAAAAGTGCAACTGTACAAATGAAATCTTTTCAAGTGTTCCTCGGTTTTGATTTACAAAATGAGAATATTGACGCTATCTGGCTTGAAATCTAGAAAAATCTAAAAAAACATTTGTTTTTTTATATATTTATAGGAAAGTTGAATGTTATTGTTTTGATTTCGATTTCCCGTTCATGCCAAGAGGACTGGTTGGCAAAAAGTCAAAATGGCTGGCGAAGACAAAGAATACATCGCAAAGAAAATATCAATACAATTAATACATTTCGACCTGACACTTTAAAAGGTATGCAATAAAATTAGAAATCAACTCAGAAATTCTCCAAGATCCATACACCATACCAAGCAAGAGCTGTGATGGATGCTTGAACTCAGAAATTTTCCAAGATCCTTACACCATACCAAGTAAGTGCTGGGATGGATGCTCCAGCAGGTGACCTGACGTTATGTTTCCTGATATTTATCACTATCTAATATAAGCTGACCAGGACTTTATACACAAGAGACACTTAGGGCCCTGGATGGATATTATTACTTCAACAGTGGACTTGTGCAAGAGGTCTATTATTATTATGAGTCATCGGTAGATTTAAATGTATGCATAATGAAGATGAAAAGTAATCCCCTCACAGAGTTGGTGATAAACCACATGAGCCATGGGTTTGCTTGAAAAAAAGCAGGGATATGTTGTCAGTGCTCACTGCACATGCACAGCTGGGTAGGTGAAAATAAATACTTTTATGTTAAATAATTAGTACGATTTATTTCAGGTATAATTTACTTGTAAGTACATGTATATAGAACAGGAATCAAAATGATGATGGCAACCCTTTTAGGACTAAAATAATGAGAACAAGTGTATCATGTTAATGGAACCTGTTTTATAGGACAAAGGATGATATATAGTATTATTTTGCAGAGGGTTTGGATGTTGACAAAATATGATGTCAAAGTAAATGCAAAGACACTTAAACAGGCTTACAACGGCTGCCTTGGGTCTTCCAAACAGCAAGGTCACATTTAAATTGACTGCAAAAGTCTTAACAGAGCTCTTCACACCAAAGGAGCTGGCAGCCTCAAGAGGACAAGGTCTGTAGATGAAGAAAGAAACAGACTTTTGCCCTGCTCTGGACTCACACAACCTACAAATACTGAAAGGTTTTGAAAATTTATTTTATAAACGGGCTCATCAGGATTTAAATGTATAAGTTTATTAGCAGAAATAAGCCCCTGAATGTCACTTTCATTTACAAAGAGAGTTTTTGTTGAATGTTGAATTTTCACGAGAAATTTATTTTAGGAATATTAATAGAAAAAAACATCTTTTTATAAAAAAAGTAGTTCAACTTTGATTCCTCATAATGTCAAGCATGTTAACATAGGACTAAACACTTTTAAAAACTTGTTTCAAATGAATTTAAAAAAATATTTCAGAGTATGCCACAGGATGGTGCAGGAAAAACAACAAGGAGATCCAAAAGAGAAGGATATTAATGACGCCATTAAGGAGCAGATCAGCTATGCCAGAAAAAAAAGAAGTTTTTCTTAGCAAACAAACTATTGATAGTCTTTGTTTGCTGAGATTTTTTGTGCTCAACCTTACAGTGTTTGTGCTTTTTAAAAAAAAAAAACGTTTTAAAATCAAGAAATTCAATAGGTAGATCAGTATTGTTTAATGGCAGGTCTGATCTTTCACTGTAGGTAAGCTTTTTAATATTAAAATGTGTGTCAGCTGAATAACAACAATATTATTCTTATCACTTAAACTTATTTGACACCATTATGAACAAACACATTGTGGCTTAAAAAGAAAGTCTTCGAAATTTGGAACTTCGGAAATAAATTATTCAATGTCGCATTATAAACTATACACGCAGAAATCATTTCCCAGGTATTTTTATAGGATCACTGGTTCAATTTTGAAGTAATGTGATTGGTTGTTTTAGTCACAGTTTCCAATCAGAGTTCCACACTCAAGATCGATATTAGATTTAAATTTAAAGTCAGTGAACATTCACCTGACTTTAACAACTCGGAAATATATATTATACGTGCAGGCATAGACAATATTTTGAACAATGTTTTTCCCTCAGACATGAAAGACCAGTTCCAAGAACTTACAAAATCACTAACAGAAAAGAACCCAATAGCAAACATTGCTATTTCTTCTATATTACAGAGGTAAGGATGAAAACTCATGCATCTTAACATTAATTATTTGATTCCAAAATTCGATGAGATCAAGACGCTCTTTAATGAACACAAAGAAATTGAAATTTTTGGCAGCTGTAAAACATGTTTGAATGACAGTTTTAGTGACAAAGAATTCGAAATAAACAGCTATCAGTTCTTTCGGAAAGATCAACAATCAAACGGTGGAGGTATTGTTGTATTCGTGAAAGAAAACTACCTCTTTATTAGGCGTGAAGATCTTGAGAACACTAATATGGAAATTATTTTACTAGAAGTTAAACCATTCAATCAAAAACCATTTATTCTTGGATATTTGTATCGACCACCATCATTTGTCATCTAGGAACTCTATGTATGAAGATATTTTTGAAAAATTAATTTGTAAAATCTGGGAAACTTTTAGAACCAGGACATATAGAAATCAGGATTTTTATGATGCCCGCAGGGTAGATTGCCTTTGTTGCAACTGTTTAGCCTCTTTAATAAAGACTTCATTTTATTATTATTATAGATTAACAAAAATTAGTCAGATGTTTATGTTACAAAAATGGAAAGAAATTTAGATTGTTCGAAAGATTTTGAGTTAATTAAGAAATTAGACACAGGCTTATATAACATAACATATGGAGCAATGGATGGAGGAGAAAATAGACATTACTATTGGAAGCAGTACTAAGTCATTTTACCTCTCAGAATGGATCCGAAAAATTGACGAACGAGGACTTGCAAAGTGCATCATTTGTAAAAGCCCGTAGGTAACAAAAAATGGGCAAAATAGCGCTTACAGGACATTGCAAAAGTAAAAACCACACTGAACGAGTAAAAGCATTGTCCACACAAACTTCTATTCCAGCTGCATGTCATGGGGAGAAAACAACAACAGAGGCTTATGGCATCCATCCAATGTTCATAATTAAAAAGACCGATGAGTTGCCAAAACAGCAAGTTACACTAAAGCCTCTTGTGCCATAAGATGATAAGATACACAAGGGGAAGGGGTTGGGTTTTCTTTTTACCTTTCTGAGAAATACATTATTACATTAAAACAGTATTATTTATTTTTACAATAAAGATGAATGTTTATCATATTTTACTTAATATTCTGTAATATTTTTTTTACATTTGAATACCCTAAAATACTTTAAATCCATGAGCTCTGGATATTAAGGAGACAGGTCTGACACCATTGACACACACCCTCTTAAGTCCAGCTTAAGATCTGTTTCAAATTGCACAAATTAGTAATATCAATTTTTCAATATCAAAAAATCCTACCTTATCCATCAACTTCAATTCCCTTCAATGTTAATTGACATTCATGAAGAAAGAAATGACTAAATCACAAAAGAAAGGACAATTGGCTACTACATATGTGTTATGAAAAAAATTGTTTTCAATTTCTGAGTGGAAAGGCACATTATATTTACAAAACAAGAGGGCCATGATGGCCCTGAAATTGCTCACCTGTATATAGGCCCCTGGCCCAAGGCCAATTTTAAACCAGGGGCTTTTATCTGAAAAAACTTGGTAGACACCCATTAGAAGATGCTTCATGATAAATATCTAAGCTCTAGCTCTTTGGGTTTTTGATAAGAAGATAATTCAAGTTTTCCTATATAAATATAGGGAAAAACAATGACCCCCACCCCTCGGAGGGGCCAATTTTCACCCCAGGGCTTTTATTTGAACATACTTGATAGACACTCACTAGAAGATACTTCATGCTTAGTATCTAAAACTCTAACTTTGGGTTTTTTATATGAAAATTTTAAAAAGTTTTTACTATACATATATAAGGAAAATCAATGACCGCCGGGCGAGCCAATTTTAACCGAAGGGCCCTTATTTGAACAAACTTGGTAGACACTCATTAGAAGATGTTTCATGCTAAATGTCTTAGCTCTAGCTCTTTGGGGTTCTTAAAAGAAGATTTTTTAAAGTTTTTACTATATACATAAAGGGAACAAGAGCCCGGTTTGAGCCGGGTGATGCTCCCCGAATAGGTTTTGGACACAGGAAAGTACACCTCTTGTAGTTTCAGAGTTATGTCCGTGGAAAAAGTTCAAAGTGCAATAATTCCAAAATAAGGCAAGGCAGAGTTACAGTTCTTTGCACTGCACTTCTAATCAATGTGATCTATCAACCTACAAAGTTTCTTGATGATATCTCTTATGATTTCCGAGTTATGTCCTGGACAATTCAAAAAGTAAAAATAAACAAAGGGCAATAACTCCAGAATTAGGCAAGGTAGAGTTATGATTCTTGTGCACTGCACATCTACCCATTGAGATTTATCTACCTACAAAGTTTCATGTTGATATATCTTATAGTTTTACAGCTATGTCCTGGACAAGATTTTTCTAAAAGGGGAGATTATTCAAAAATAAGGCTTAACAGAGTTATGGTTCTTTTGCACTGCACCTCTACTCAATGAGATCTATCTACCTACAATGTTTCATGTTGATATCTCTTATAGTTTTAGAGTTATGCCCTGGACAAGATTTTTTCAAAAACCAGCCAAAATAGAGTTATGGTTCTTTGACACTGCACTCCCCCGCGATGCCCTCTACCACTGTATGAAGTTTCAACAAATTATCTCCAAGGGTTTTCAAGTTATGTTCCGGACAAAGTTCAAAGTATTAAAATTAACAAAGGGCAATTACTCCAAAATTAGGATGAAAAGAGTTATTGTTCTTATGCACTGCACATCTACCCATTGAGATCTATTCACCTACAAAGTTTCATGTTGATATCTCTTATAGTTTTAGAGTTATGCCCCGGACAAGATTTTTCTATAAGGGGAGATAATTCAAAAACCAGGCAAAATAGAGTTATGGTTCTTTGACACTGCACCCCCCCTCGATGCCCTCTACCACTGTATGAAGTTTCAACAAATTATCTCCAAGGGTTTTCAAGTTATGCTCTGGACAAGACAACGGACGGACAGACGGACGGATGGACAGACAGACGGACAAGGCGCCGACTATATGCTCCCCCGAAATTTTTCGGGGAGCATAAAAACAATGACACCCTGGGGTGGGGCCAATTTTTACCCCAGGGCTTTTATTTGAACAAACTAGAAGCACCCACTAGAAGATGTTTCATGCTTAATATCTAAGCTCGAGCTATTTAGGTTTTTTAAAAGAGAATGTTTTAAGTTTTTAATATATACAAATAAGGAAAATCAATGACCCCCCCAGGCGGGGGCCAATTTTGTTCCCAGGGCATTTATTTGAACAAACTTGGTAGACACTGACTAGACGATGTTTCATACCAAATATCTAAGCTCTGGCTCTTTCGGTTTCCTAAAAGAAGATATTCTAAGTTTTTTCTTTTGGTTGCCATGGCAACCAGAGTTCTGCTTGGAATTAAATTCTTTGAACAATTTTTAAAGTTGACTACCAAAGGAACATTCCTGTGAAGTTTGGATGAAATTGGCTTAGCAGTTTAAGAGGAGATATTGTTTAAAGTAAAAGTTTATGGACGGACAGACGCCGGACGAAAAGCGATCACAAAAGCTCACCATGTCTTTTTGTGACAGGTGAGCTAAAAATAGTTTTGGCATTTTGAATTCAGATTCAAAAAGGCCATTCTATGAATACATAGGTCTATGATATAATGATAAAATTTTTGAGTACTAAACGGAAAAGCACAGAACTGTAATTATTAGATTGTTATCTACACATTTACATATGATAAGATAATGAAACTATAACAACTATTTAGCAAGTGATCTCTAGCAGATGTTCATTTATCAATTATTACACCCAAAATTACTAATAATTCTAAGGGCATGGGCAGTTACATTTACAGCATTTTTCTTAAAAATACCATTCACACAGCATTATGTTTCTCAAGATACACAATCAGGTCTTCCAACACTGCATAGATATGCTGGTTCCATTGACAGGCTGGTTCCATTGGCCTGCTGGTTCCATTGATTAACCTGCTGGTTCCATACATTGCTGGTTCCATTGTCCAGCTGGTTCCACAGATCTGTTGGTTCCATTGACCAGCTGGTACCATAGACTTGCTGGTTCCATATATCTGCTGGTTCCATACATTTACTGGTGCCATTTTCTTAATATTTTGAAAGCAATGGCTACATCTTCTCTAGCAGATTTTAATTTTGAATAATTGATTCCTATAAATGTTCAGGGTTTGTTTTTCCAACCATATAAGCACCAATGGTATAATTCCTTTAATTGCTTATTACTGGGTGCTGAAACAAACAAAATGTTACATCAAATAACATCAAACAAAAAATAAAACAAGGGTTCCATATAATTATTGAATTGCAATGGTGATATCTGAATCCTAAGACAATTAACATAAACATATATTTCAATGAGTTAGCTCATAACATTGCTGGAATAATATTCAACAAAACTGTGAACAAAATGAAGCAGGTATATGCAACATTCATTTGAGTTGTGTCACGACAGAATCAACATAATGGGCTTGCGACCAGCATGGATCCAGACCAGCCTGAGCATCTACGCAGTCTGATCAGGATTCATGCTGTTTGCTATCAGTTTCTCTTCTTGTAATAGTGTTTGTAAGCCAACAGAATGGATCCTGATCAGACTGCTGGTCTGGATCCATGCTGGTCGCAAAGGCATTACGTTGGTTATGTCGTGACGTGGCTCATTTTACTACAAAGTTCTTTTGCAGGACTTATAACCAGACATGTTTTCAGAATGATATTAACATTTCTTAATGATTGAACCACAAAATAATTTTGCAATGTTGAATTGATTTTTTTTTGTATCGTTCAGGTTTTAGGGAACAATACAGTGTAAATTTTATATAGCTGCTTTCCAGCCTAAATGACGGAGGAAGACTAACCTCAAATGCCCCTTGATATAAATTTACAATTAAGCCTTCATTGAACACCAACTTTCCTTGTTCATCTTGTCTATCATATTTTTCATGAGAAGAATCACTTACATTCCGTTAGGCTTACTGACATATAAGAATCTGTTGAACAGGACTTTAACCCAAATAAGTGACAAGCAAGTTAATCAAAGTCGACTATTTAAATCACTCTGCTGGTGTTCATTATTTATCATAAATTTATAATGTTTAATTATAGCTTACATTCAATATTAAGTTTCTTCAATAGCTCATGTGTTTCTTCACGTTTGTCCATCACTTCAATAGAATTTGTTGACTCTACCCTCGGTAACCGTATATTGTAGTATATGTAGATACGGTTGTTAAATGTCGCATACACGAAGCATGGTACATTATCAGTGGTGTTTACAGCATAGTATCCTGTAAGTGTGAGATTAAACCTCTTTGAACATAATGATGTCACACAAAGTAATTAAACATTTTACAACATCTACAACAAGCTTAGACTGAAAGACAAAAAAAATTCCTGAGCAAATAACTAATTTTTAATCAGTTTCTTGTTTCTCTTTTACAAGAGTGGATGGCCTTAAAAAACTTGCATGTTTCATGACAGTGATTGCCCGTAAATCAGTTTTCTTTGCAACTTAGTTAAATGAATGAATGACTGTAACCCTTGGCCTTCTAGTGGCAACTGATTCTACAAATACAACCAGTGCAGACCAAGATCAGCTAGCACATCTGTGCCACTTCACCAAGTTGATGAGCTAAGTTTGAAGAAATCTTGCAAGGTTTATTGGATTTGAAGAGCAAATACCTCCTTCAAATCTGACCTTGACCAACACAAAGGTGGCATAAGTTCTGCACATTGCCTTCATGAGACAAGTTTGAAAGAAGTACTTTCAGGGGTATAGGATTTAAACAGCAGACAAATGAAGTGATAGGACAAAGTGATTCCAATGTAGCCTCCCCAAACAAAAAGTGGTGAGGGTTTAATGAAATATTATTGTTGGGTACACTATAATCATACACTAACTTACTCAACAAATTCAACAATTGTTTCTCTTTGGGAATTTTATCTCAAAGTAAGAACATTAAGGTTGTGTTTTCCTGTTTTCTTAAATGTGTCTCAACCTGGAATATCTGAACAACTAAAATACCCTCCTCAAACATTTAGACTTACCAGTAGAGTGGTTACGGTCGTTGACTTCAAACCACTTGCCCCTAACCGCTGTTGGTTCGGATCCAGACAGGGACTTTGGATTTGTTCATGTGAGGAAGCTATCCAGATAGCTTACCGACATTGGTGGTTCTGATCAGGTGCCAAACCCAATCAAACAATCTTACCAGTAGAGAATGCTGCTACATTGTCCTCAAACTGATATCTAACAGCTTCTCTACCATGGTTAACAATGTATGTCTGTCCATCCCAGGAACAACAAACAACCTCTTCTTTACCATTTCCCTAAAAATAAACATTTCATTTACTTAAACAGCACATCAATTTATATCCAATTAAGGTTTCAAAGTTGGGCATGTAATAAGTGGCCTTTTCAAATTGGGGTGATAAGCAAAAATACCATTTTCTATTTATAAGTATATATTTTTTTATTACCTTTCTTTTTCCCCAAGATGATATAGGTATTAAATTTTATGTTTCTTTTCTTTTAGACCTCATTTGATTTCCTTTAAGTACAATAGTAAATTTTTCAGCAGACTTTTTTCAGACGTGAATTTCTTCTATTGATTTAAATTTACTGTGTTCGACTTGGAAAAATTTGGCATTTGGTATGACAGTATGGAAGACGCAGAAAAATGTCTGATTATAAAGTGTCACTTACTGTAACATCAAGTTTATTCAGTGAGAATAGTTGATGATCAACTTGAAGAGACCATAATATCTGTCTCCCACTTTCTACCAACACTATAGTACCTGTTTATATAATTGAGACAACATCAAATTATAACATGTGCTTAAAATTAAATTTGCTATAACAACAATACATCAGTCACAGTTGTATGAATAAAGACAATGGTCATAATTCACACATCAATTAATAGTACAAGATTGTTATTTTCTTCTTCAAAGTAATTCTGTCTGAATTTATGAACCCCTTTATGTCCTTATATTTTTGTAATGTAACATAATATTTGCTTAAAATCTGAAAACATGCAATAGTTTATTTCAGGTATTGGAAAAGTGCTACAAATTAAAACCCGACGGTGTACTGGCAATCAATATCCTTATCTAAAATTAAATGTAAAGCAGAAAATATAATGAGAGGCATGTATTAAGGGTAGCCTAAAATTATATCATGACCTACATACAGAACAATTGTATATGAGGGAAGCAGAGGCTTAGTGGTTTTGTTGTCTGCCTCTCAACCCACATACATGTACATGTACTCATGGTTTGAGCTCTAAATGGGTCATCACCAAGTTTACTCATACAACACCAGTTCTAGTAAGTTTCAAGAAGCAAAAATGGTTCCAAAAAGAAGAGCACTTTTCTCACAACAGAAGCAAATGTATCTCTTTCTTCATTTAATTTGAATATTAACAGTGTTAAACCAAGCCCCTAACATATCGCTAATTTTGTACATACATACCATCTAATGTACAGAGTGCATAAAGGACATCAGCTTCACTATCCTTGGCCGATCCAGGTCCTTTTCTTATATTACCAACAATTTCTGTAGATATACTGATATTTCTGATCTCACTAGAAACTAGAGGGTCATATAGCAGGTTGTTTGGCTCTGTCTCGCTGATTCTGTAACATAAATACAAGACAAATATAATCTTGTAGAGCATCATATAATTAAGTTAAAATATGATCTGTGTGTACATGTAAATCCTCTTAAGAAGTCTGCATGCTATATTCTTTTTTATGTTTTGCTTATTTTTTATGGATAGGACAGGATAGATAGATTTTGTTTACAGTGTCATACGTAATCTTGTTATAATTTTCTTATAAAATTATAACACACATGTACAAATAAGGTGATAAAGTGGAAAAAATAACCTAGCAGTATTTACTTTATTTGTTTATAATAACATACAACACTTCAGCTTTAGTTTAAACATATTTATTTAAGTTTGACAGCAAAACAATCTCTTGCACAGTCTCGTGAAGTGTTCGTCAGAAAATCATGAGCAAAATCTTGTTACACAAGGTATAATTCTATTTCAAATAGGATGAACTGTTACACCCAGAGACAAATGTTTCAAAGTTCAAAATTTAAGATAATTTTGCGTTTCACCAAAAGTAAACAACATTTGCCACCAGTATAGGCCAGGCCAGGTCAGACATCATGCAGATCTATTCTAGCATTGAAATTTCGTAAACTATGAATGGACTGTTTCAAATTCAGAGCAAGATGAAACCATATTGTTACACAAATTTAGCAAATTAACGGTAAATCTAATTTATTTTTCATGTTTTAAAAACGCAAACATCAGTAAAAGTGATGCTTGCTCCTAGAAATCACATCGAAAAAGCTGAAATCATTGATTTATATTCCTTTCTTACACTAAGTGGTGTTGAAACTATTCCTCTTATACATGCCAAAGGAGAGAAATCTATGAATTGTACTAACACATAAAATATCAGTCGATAAAATATGAACATGTTATTACAAACAGTTAGTGCTTAAAGGTCATTAGGTATGAAGGATGGAGGAAAAGATGGCACAAAGTACATCTAGTCTACTATACAATCCACTGAAAGTTTTTCAGATGCATAAATATAAATCCATGTATGTATAACACTTACCCGTCTTGTATATCATTTGATACAGGATCGTGTAGCAACGTGACATATGTTCCCCCAGGTTGTGAAGCTAGCAGCTCAGATTTCCCTTTCTTACCTTTATTCATTGTAATAGAACCAATCTGTAATGTATATAATGTTTAACATCATATAAAGGTTTTAAAGATTAGTTTAAATTTTAGACAAAGGACATGAAATTATAACCTACTGTCCTACACCAAAAATATACCGTCAGATACTTTTTAATTGATTGTTTCTTTTCTAGATTTTACACAAATTTTAAAATATATTTGGTCTTCTTGATTTTAAAATCTTTTTTAATGCCCATTAACTTAACATTTACACAAATGAATTAGACAATGCAAGGGAGAGCACCTTGTTAAAAGTTTTCATATTTCAATATTATGCTCCTTGTAATAATTCTTCTTTTTTTTTCATGGTCAGGTTTTAAGTCACACCAAAACTGCAAAAGTCATATGGTCACCTTCCAGCTTTACCCACTGATAAAGACTTCAGGTGCCTTGACACTCCTTATTATAAGCACCAGGCAATTGAATAATACAACCAACCCTCCTTTAACTAGCTGAACATTTCCTCACATGAAAAAAAATCCAAGTTTTCCATGAGGAATTTAAATTCACAGCAATCAGAGGCAAGTAATCTTAGTCAGTGCTTTTCATCACTTAATCATAAAAGCCCTCCTTTTAATGATCAATTTAATTTAAGACAACAAAGTCCAATTTTTACAAATTTGTTTTGTAGAGCTGGCAATTATCTACAGAAAACTGATCATCATGTGAAATGAATCCAAAGACAATAGTCTGGTAACCACATGCCAAGATATGACTGCAGAACAACATTTTACTAAACATTACCTGACCAGCCAACTGCCATTTTTCTATCTGCACCATAGAACCTTTAGTTTCTGTCTCACTATCAAAGGATGTAGGTCCTATCCACTTATACAATCTTATAACTCTGTCAGAATATCCCATAGCCAACTCTAACTTCCCATCTCCATCTGGAAACAAACATCTTATAACATGTTATAAAGCTTACATAAAGTGGATGTACACTGGGTAATTCAGTACCATATGTTTATAAAATTATATTTACTGAAATTTTCATTATTAATGATTAACATTTATGTTACATTGTCTTTTGTACAATTATTTGATGAAAATATGTTGAGGTACATATGGAAGATAGTTTTGGCAAATATGTAGCCTTGTTAATTGAAGCCTGTACTATTATAATCATTGTTATAAAATAATGAACTGCAGCTTGTCATGATAAGCACCTTTCATAACATGTTAAAAACCTTTAGAACATTTGAATAATGGGCTACATTAAGGTTTTTTTACATAACAACAACAATGAGTATAGCTCAACTTTTTCTTTGAAACAGACAAGCTCGAAATAAATAAAATCAAGCATTCAAATAAATCTATTTTTTCTTCAAGGAATTGACATTCTTAGAAATATTATTAACATCTATCAGTGTATAATATCACTCACCATAACAGGGGGGGGGGGGGGAACCACAGGGATCTTAAGTTAGAGGCTTACTTAGTTTGAATAAACCTGAAACTCTTTCATGACCAAAAAAATCTCACTTCTTGTCAAATATAATTGACATAATCATCTTATATCTAATCAAAACAAAATCATTGTGCTCTATATCATAACTTACCTACATCAGCTGCCTGCATAACTTTACCATTAGGAGGTAGATGTTGTGTAAATATATTGGCTTTAAATTGTCACCACAATCCTCATCATGACTCTGCGAAAAATGTAAAACATATCTTTATTAGAATTGATCAGTATGTGATTAAAATAAAGATTAAATACTTTGAGTTGTAGTTACAGTAAGATTAAATATATAGAGGATATTGAATGAGTGTAGCTTTAATACTAAATTTATTGAACAAATTGAATAAAATCACATTATGCAAACCTCTTGAAAGCAAAATATTGTTTTATTCAATGAGTAAAGATTGAACCTACAGTACACAAATATTAAATTCTATTTACCACATATTAAACTAAGAATGGTTTTACAGATTAAAATTTTTCATTGATGTACCTACAGTGCAATACTAACATTAGCATGCTTTATTGCTGTTTGTACACACGAGTGAAGTTGGTTGACCAGTTTGTTTGTTTGTTTCATTTTACGCCTTTTCCCAACAGTATTTCAGTCATATAGGCGGGTAGTTTCCTAACCATCATTCCTGGAGAGTTACACCAGTACTAGACTACCTTCCTCCGCGCTAAACTACCAAAGCATCTCCCGAGGATCAAACCCACACCAGAGAGGTAACTGGATTAGAAGTCATCGACTCTAACCCCTCGACCACGGAGGCGGTCTTGGGTGACCTGAGTATAGAACCTGATACAGCCTGGCCTGGCTCTATACACGTGCCACAGACTTATCACTTCAATTCCAGCAAGGTACAAATGTAAAGTGTCTGCTATAAATAGATCAGATATCATCTATATTTACCTCCTGACCTTCTCCATCTTGGAAATCCACTTTGACATCAAACAAATAAAACCAACCTTCTGCAGTCAGGCAGTACAAGTTATTCTGTAAAATACATATATCAATATTTTTTATGTTCTATTACCTTTCTTTAAGTCAAATTATGATACAAATTTATATAAGACCTTGACACTCAAAGTCACATTTGAATTAATTATCATTACTAGCACTGTTTACATTAATAAAATCAGTTTTGCATGCGTATAAAAAATGCAAATAATCACCTTTCCTCTGCTTAATAAATCACTGACACCAACACATGTTATCTGTAATAGGGTAAATGTAACATATTAGTCATGACAACATGATTTTAGGAATGCCATTAATGTTGTTTTAATAGGAACATTTTTATTCATTCTTGGTTGGGTTTTATGTTGCACCAAAACAGTTGACTCAAGAGGTCATATGGCGACTTTCCAACTTTACTGACACCTCCTTGCATCATTTCAGACTTGAATGGGCACCTGAGGGAACCATCAACATTCTATAAGCTAGCTAGATAGCTTCCTCACTTGAAAAATCGAGTGTCAGGCAGGTTTTGAACCCTTAGTGGGAAGAGGCAAGTGGCTTGACCTCAACCATTCAACCATGGATGCCCTCATTTGGAATTGAGAAAAAAACTAAAAAGCCAATCTGACTAGTAATAAATAGAATTTACTGAACAAAAAAAGTTTCGAACACTGTATGGTTGACTGCAAGTTCATTTAGTTTGGTATGTATTATTTCTTGCATACACAGGAAGTAGACATGTTTACCCACTATAGATTAGAATAATGATTCTCACCATGCCCAAGTTAGAACAGGTTCTCCATGGGGTAGGTCCTCTACCTTTGAAAACTGCCAGCATCCCATCTACATTACCTACAGCTAACTCATTTCCCTGTCAATAAATGAAGTGTGTGAGAAAGAAAATACAAAAAAAAGCAAATAAGTCAGCTTCAATGACTTAAAACGATGCCTTTAATTTCTTTTACTTTGACACTGTCCCAGGGTCTATTCCAGGATATACATTGTAGCCAAATCATGATTTAAAAAAATACATGGTATATATACAGAATGGGGATTTAAGAAAATGCTCATCAAACATAATGATAGTATCTTTCGGACAAAGGCTAAGTACTGTGAACAAAGGCCAAGTGTACACTTTCTCCTTGGAGGCCTCATTGACAAGTTTAACTGTATATAAAAATTTGTGCATCATGTACTATAGTCTAGGCCACAAGGGGGCCCACACAATGTTTGGATGGTATATATACTGCTTGATGGTGACCATAAACAACTGTTAAAATGAGATTTAAGTCATGACCTTATAATATGTGTATAATCTATTTATATACATATTATAAGGTTATGACTTAAATCTTATTTTAAGGTCACCATCAAGTAGTATATACCATCTGTTTCATATTTAATTCTACATTAAATATATATTGTTTCATATTTAATTTTACATTAAAAATATATTGCATGCAGTACTTTTAAATTGCAATGATTGTTAGGCTCCGCCTACTTAGTGTACTGACCAATTGACTACAACAAGTGTACAAACGGTCTTAGAAATAAACTCATAGTATCAACATCTTGTATTCTCTGCACCAAATTAACAAACATAAAACTCCATCCAAACACTGTGTAATGGTTTTTATTTCATATATTTATCAAATTTAAACAAGAGCTGTCGGTAGGACAGCAACGCTCGACTTTTCTTAGTGCTTGATAGTAAAAAAAATGCTTGATACAGTTACCTCCTCCTGTTTACAGGTTGGGGTCATGATGGTGAACAAGTGTGCAAAGTTTCAAAGCCATATGTCAATGGACTTTGAAAATATTTGAACTATTACAAAAACTTTAACGTAAATTCTAAGTCGAAAAAGGGGCATAATTCTGTCAAAATGCTTGATAGAGTTACCTCCTCCTGTTTACAGGTTGGGGTCATGATGTTGAACAAGTGTGCAAAGTTTCAAAAACCATATGTCAATGGACTTTGAAAATATTCGAACTATTACAAAAACTTTAACATAAGTGGTTACGCAGACGCTCGGGTAGTCAAAATATATTGACGTGCCAAAGCTTGATTCTGAGATATTTTCGTTCTGGGGCAGAATCTCGCTTTAACGTCAAAACCAAAAGGAGACCTTTCTGTGGTGAAACGTGGATTTCGATGTAAATGTGAAAATGCAGACATTTAAACTAAGAATTTATTCAACAATACAATTTTAAGTAATTAACAGCACAAAAAGTGCCAGACTATCAACTTAGAATAAAGTAAACCACGTTAGTTTCATTTCACCGTCTCATTTGTGTAACAACGCCGCCATATTGTGATGTTGCTACAATAATGTAACATGTACGCTAAAAATCGATATTGTTCGGTACCGTTCGTTTTTTTTTTTTTTGTGTGGCTAAAAAAATATGTATAAAAAAAATATGTAAAACTATTAAAAAGAGGAAATTTTTCTTATATGATGTTATTATTAATTATATTCATTGCTACAATAAAATAAATCGCCAGGAAATTATCTTTAAATATTTTTGTAATTCATGATAGAAATCTTTAAAATGATGCGGGGTACCTTTTATAATTTAGTCCTCTTTTTTTATAAATATGTTTATTAAAGGTTAAGGATAAACAAAATACTGTATTTCATTAAAATGTATATTCTCATCACTCTGTAGTATTATCTATGTTAGTATAATTATGTTAGTCACATCTTGCTGTGTATTAAAAACAGCAACGAAAGGTTTGTTTTTCGAACGTGCATTACGCTATGAAAGAATTCAAATGGTAAATTCTTGCGTTAATTTTTCATTCCTCAACTATTTTCAGAAAAATAGAACTCGTTACTCCGAGCACCCATTTTTCGTTTGTCTGTATCTGAAAGAACCTGTGTACATGTACCATTTATCCGTGTAATAAAAGACTGTTATCATAGCATGCCGTAATGGCCTGGATATTTGGTGTTGTTTAAGCGATGTTTCAGAAAAGTTTTGCAGAAAAGTTTTGTCCCAGTATAGAAAATATATTCAACCTAATATTTATTTTTAAAATGTGTCAACTACATGTATTCCACAACGCCGACACCGGTACGCTGGCCAATATACAATTCGGAAATGTTGACACTTTTAATAATTAATGCGCAGTCCTGTGTCTTCCTTACTTAATTTCTTTGCGTCAACTATAAATTTATAAGATTAATTTTTAAATAAAAAAAATGATTTTTTAAATTCGGGCTGTGATTCCTTTCCGGAATCAGTTAAACAATTTTCCATGCTGAAACGGTCCAAATTAAGAAGAAGTTATTTTTAGATTGTCTTACATGTATTTATTTTTCAATTTATAATTATAAATATACTTGATGATTTATTTCAAAGACGATAATTTTATGCTTAAATTTCTTTCTATAATACATTTCTGAAAGTTGTTTAAACGGTGTTAAGAATTTAAATGTGTTACGGTCCCGAGTTTCCTCAGAACATTTTCCCGGCTTACCAATACGCTTTGAATTTACGCAAGATATGCCAACTTTTTAAGTTTTGAGTTGTGGCATTTATTTATTAGGAACTTTTTTTCTGGTTTTCTTTCTAAATTTACTGGAAGGTTAAAATCTTAATTTTCGTACTCAAAAAAATATAGAAAAAAGAACTCAGGAGGCGCCGTGATTTATTACCGATTTTATAAGTTCGTTTTCCAAAGCAACACCTTTTATATTTGGGCAGTAACAATCTGTATCATGGTATGTTTAAAATGAGTAATAGTGTTGAATAACCCTTAAATCTTATAAGATTGGACAAGAATCAAAGAAATCACAGACGCTTGGGGTGTGAAGCTCAAAACGCCTTTAAAATCCAAATAAAATGTATATGGAGCCACGTTTGAATTTCTCGAAAGATTTTGTAAATGGAGTAAAACGGCGATAATCTCGATGTTTATTTTGCCAGTTGCGTTGTTTATATTACCGTTGAAGTTTAAAATTGACCATCATTTTGAAGATTTATATCTTTTGTGTCGATGGACCAAAGGATTTTGTGAAAATATTGGAAACAGAATAAAATACATGGTGTTTTTGACGGCAGGTGTGCGGATTTTTTCCTGCGAACATTTTTATCTTGTGTATTATTATAGACGTTGAAATATATTTTTTTTCAGAACGGCTTATATTTAGTTTTTTATATATATATGATCAGTTCATGTGCTGGTATTGACAAATATACATTTTATTTGGATTTTAAAGCTCCACACCCAAAGTGTCTAAGAAAGAAATTAGCGGTGCAGCGTTTTGTTTATGTAACATTGTAAAATAACCGCTTTGATTCTTCAAATCTCACCTCGCCATGCATGTATTTTATAAAAGAAAATAATTTCTTAGCATAAAAGTCAATTGTATGGGATAAATATTTACTGTATACCAACATTATGAAAGTCTTTTGCAAAACAAAACAAAAAACAATAACAACAGCAAAATAAGGCGGGGGCACCTGTTTCATGAAATAAATTTCCGAGTATTTTTCTCTGCTACCCAGGTCATTTTAAAACAATTTTCATACCTTCGTTTGTGTGTGTCTTTTTCTTTCTAAAAACATCTTCAGAAAGCTTTTTGGAGAAAACTATTCAGAATTATGGGCCTGCGTGGATAAGATATAACAAGAGCACCGCTAGGCGGAGCATTATATGCCCGAAAGTGTTTTTTTTTTAGTAAGGATGAAGCATTTGTAAGACATGGGAATTCGCTGTTCATCCTATAAAATTTTACAGCTGTAGGTTGATTAATACTTAAGTTATTTATAATGACCTTAACCTTTGACCTTGTGACCCCAAAATCATTAGGAGTCTTCTACCTTATATGGACAATCATCCTAAGAAGTTTTGAATATTGTGTGCCAATTGGACCTTTGATTATGCTCTAGAAACTGTTTTCAGTATTAAGGTAAAAGTGACTTTGACCTTGTGACCCCAAAATCAATAGGGGTCTTCTACCCAATATGCACAATCATACTTTTAATTTTTAATATTGTGGGCCGAATGCAACTTACGTTATGCTCCAGAAACTGTTTTCAATTTCATAGTAAAATTGACCTTGACCTTTGACTTTGTGATCCCAAAATCAAAAGGGGTCTTTTGCCCAATATGGACAATCATCCTATGAAGTTTGAATATTGTGGGCCAAATGGAACTTACGTTATGCTCCGGAAATTGTTTTTGGTTTTAAGGTAATTGTGACCTTGACCTTTGACCTTGTGACCCCAAAATCAATAGGGGTCTTTTGCCCAATATGGACAATCATCCTATGAAGTTTGAATATTGTGGGCCAAATGGAACTTAAGTTAAGCTCCGGAAACTGTGTTCAGTTTTAAGGATATAGTGGCCTTGACCCTTGACATTTTGACCCCAAAATCAATAGGGGTCATCTACCCAATATGGACAATCATCCTATGAAGTTTGAACACTGTGGGCCAAATGGAACTTAAGTTATGCTCCGGAAACTGTTTCCAGTATCAAGGTAATAGTGACCTTGACCTTTGACCTTGTGACCCCAAAATCAATAGGGGTCTTCTACCCAATATGGCCAATTATCCTATGAAGTTTGAATATTGTGGGTCAATTGGAACTTAAGTTATGCTCCGGAAACTGTTTCCAGTATCAAGGTCATAGTGACCTTGACCTTTGACCTTTTGACCCCAAAATCAATAGGGGTCTTCTACCCACTATGGACAATCATCCTATCAAGTTTGAACATTGTGGGTCAATTGGAACTTAAGTTATGCTCCGGAAACTGTTTTCAGTATCAAGGTAATAGTGACCTTGACCTTTGACCTTTTGACCCCAAAATCAATAGGGGTCTTCAACCCAATATGGACAATCATCCTATGAAGTTTGAACATTGTGGGTCGAATGGAACTTAAGTTATGCTCCGGAAACTGTTTTCAGTTTTAAGGTCATAGTGACCTTGACCTTTGACCTTTTGACCCCAAAATCAATAGGGGTCTTCTACCCAATATGGACAATCATCCTATGAAGTTTGAACATTGTGGGCCAAATGGAACTTAAGTTATGCTCCGGAAACCAAATTGCTAACGAACGGACGGACGGACGGACGGACAGACAGACGGACGCCAGGGGGTATAACATAATATGCCCTTTCGGGCATATAAAAAAAGAAATTTACGTGGAATTTTGTTTTCGCACATACATGTATAATGTCGAGGCACCGCATCTGACGCTTATTCGTTTTATTATTGATCAAAATTATTTTGAACATTGAAAGTATCGTTTGATAGTTAATCAGCCTGATTATAATTAACAGACTGTCAAATTCTTTAGAATGGTGTTTTCTCGAAGTCGCAAAGGCACTAGGAATCCGTACGTTGCTCTTTAAACATATAAACCTCATGTTTCTGCTCTTATCATATCCCTATTTCCATCATAATCGTGAAAAAAAATTCTATAGATACCAATAGGTCCCATGTCTTATATTTACTTGGAAAGCTGACCAAAATATTTTTTTTTATAAACAAGAAACGGTTTAGTGAGGAGTCCATTTACAGAGTAGCTTTTCTATAAAAGATGATAATGATTTTGATATTTCTAAGAACGCTCTGACAAGAACGAATAAGTTGTGCATCTGCTCCAATAAAATAATATTTTCATCCTATCATAATTATTAATTTTTGCATAAATAAATGTCTTAAATATAACATTTAACTTGATATTTTACTAAGAGTGTTTCGTCGTTTCTCAGTAACGCAGTACCGCATACACACCAGTGTAGTTATCCGCAGTGTATTTGTCACGTGACATTAGCAGCGATGTCTTTATTTTGATGGTGCATGTGTTTACTTTTCTATCAAAATCTTTATGTTAGGAAGATTTTCACAAATAAACAATGAAATTGATGTAGAAATGAATAATGAGTAACGTAACGATTTTACACGGTCCAAAGCTTGCGCTCAAAATCCCGGCGCAAATTTCACCACAGAAAAGGTACTTTTTATGTTGTACGTAGAGGCGAGATATTGCCCAGACACGAAAATAGCACAATATCTCGTCGCGCAGTACAATTAGTTGGACTAACGCTCGGGTGACTACAACAGCTCTACTTATTCTTATCGAATAGTCGAGCTAAAAAGGTGCCGAAAAGACCAGGGTTTTGAGGGTGAAACGTCCAGGGCCGAAACATCCAGGAGGTGTTAAGTCCAAACACCCTGTGTGGGCCCCCTGTTGTCTAGGCCTTCTTTAAGTTTAGCTGATTAATGCAGCAGCTTATGGTAAAATTTGCATTGAACAGACCAAGGATGCCAATACGTATTATTTCTAAATTTTTGACTAACTATAAGCCTGAAACAGTTTATTGGAAACTTACTCAAGTTACTGAACACTTTAATAAAATGTTCGAATTAATAAGTGGGCGTAAGATCTGTGTTGAAAGTTATTGGTGACGAAAACGCGATACCATGAATATAAATACACTACCTTATCGTTGTCAACGTCCCCAAGTATTATAGCCTGATTGGAGACATTGCCAGAAAACTCAACTTCAACTCGTTCTACAAAAGAAACTGTCCGCCACATAGTTCCACGTGCAATTTGAGAATAAGAATGTAGTCTTCTAAGTTTGATTACTTCCCTTTGTAACTCTCTTCAAGGAGATTTTCAACTTCCGGTAACTGTCAACTCAGTAAAATTTAATTTTTATGTGTGAGCTCGTGAAACTACAAAGAAGGTATGTTTTTACAATGCGAACAAAAATATTGACCATATTCAAAATAAATATAGACAGTAAAAAAGCTGGATGTGTACAAAAAGGAAACAAAAGACTCACTGATTTGTCATTGGTTTTCGCTATCCTATGTTTTTATATTCAGATTATAAAGATATAAATTTATAGACTTTATCTTCAATAAATAGTTGGCAAGACTTTTCATGGAATTAATTAAAGAGCTTTTGTTTAAATTAATATGCTTTGCATAGGAAACATGTAAACTTCTTATGTTCTGATAACTTGATGTTAGGTGATTGTACTCAAGTGAACTTACTGAAGGTTAATTTATCCATAGGAGCTTGACATTCTATAAATAATTGAAAACTATAAGCAAATAATTAAAAAATAACGGAAAATATACCTGTATATAATATAAATTTAATATGAAAAAGGCAAAGCCTCAAAGCGAGCTCGATGTACTTTTTACGTGAAATAGTATGAAATAATCGCTCATTTTTATTTCAAATGCAGTGACGAGTGCGTGTGACGTCACACGTACTGTGTTAAATATGGCTCCGCCCCTGTCGTGAAATGAATAACGAGTTTTGAAAACGTTTATAAAACTATGTTTATTTTATTTCACTCTAATTTTTCAAGCGAAATAAAGATTATTTAAAGTGAAATAAATTTAAAACTTAAAACGTTTGCGACATTAAAATAGCGTACCTGATTTGTTTGTTTTGCACGCGCTGTTTGGCGCTACATTATGACGTCACGTAAACAATACTTTAAACGTCTGTACAGCGTTAACGACTGAATAAAAGATATTGGTGTTCGGATTCATTTTCTTAGTTAGACCATTTTCTTTCATTCTAGATAGTTTTCACAACAAAATTCGACAAAAAAATTGTTTTTATTTATGAGATTATAAACAAAATGGCGCCTTCGATTTTCATTTTTTATACACAGCTTCCGTTATTCTGGTTCCCTGTCCAATTATGGTTCCCATAGACGTGCGCGGGTGACCAGTCTACACATCCGTTTTCAGTCAGAATTCCTCAGTTTTTATCGTTATCTTTAAATTCGAAAGGTTGCGATGTGTCCAATTCGGTACTTTGGACGAAAGTTTTCAAAACCATCACTTAGCAGGTACTCGCGTTACCGTAAAGCTCGCTTTGCGAGCAGGCCCTTCGGGCCAGCTCGTCGAGCTCGCTATAAACACAAGTGATGCAATGCCTTTTGCACACTCGATACACATTTTATCTAATTACACACATATAAATCAATTTCAACAAACTGGTTTAGCCATTTCGATACACAATACAAAATATTTTGTTGACATTTGAGTTAATTCAGTGGAGCCTTGCTAATCCGAACCCTTCTAATCCGGAATCCTTTCTTATCCGAACGAAGTGTCCGGTCCCGATTTTATTCGTTCTATTTTCAATAGTAAAAAACCTTTCGGATCCGGAACCTGTCTACTCCGAATTCCGGACGATTTTTTCAATTTTTGTTCTTATTTTACTCTAAAATTTACCTCTCGGATCCGAACAGATTTTGCCAAATGTCACACCTTCATTCAAAATAACAAATAATCGCACATATTACAGGTGTCATACACCAAACTGATAAGTGTTATTTCGCTTGATTAATGGGTGGAACGTATGATCTGCGAAGGTGTGAAAATTACACTTAGCTTGTATCTTCTATAATTGCTTAATTGATTGTTTTTCGCCAGCTTCTATAAATATTTTGATATAATGCAATAGAAATATCTTTTAATCCTTTGTATAGGATTCAATGATACGTGATTAAGTAATGAAAATTAATGGAAACTGTCAGTGAATTCGGATAGTCGCTGAATCGGAAACGAAGTAAACAACAACTGACAAAATTAATGCTGGTACGAATATCAAATCATGTCTCGGCCTCCTGTTTAACATCGTAGGTTAACTTACCCTTGAGGACATCATATTTTTGCTTATTGATTTATTTTTATTTCTTTATTTTTGTATTCACATGTATTAAAATGAACGATAAGAGACTGCAAAACTAAAATATCTAAATTGCAATTTCAAATGCATTCCCGTTTTCTTTCCTTAAACTATTTTGCAAATAACATGGAAAAAAAACATGTAAAAAACCTCCTAATTCGGAAACCTTTCTACTCCGGAAACCTTTCTAATCCGAACTTTTCTTCTGGTCCGGACGAGTTCGGATTAGACAGGTTCCACTGTATTGCCAATTTATTATTATGCAATGCTTTGATCTAAAATATTAGCGGTTGTAAAAGGTATAATTTTGTATTCAGAATGGCTTACACTGTAGAGAAACTTTTGTCTGATGCAGCAACATTAGTAAATAGATTAAAGGAGAATGATACCGTAGCAGACATCTTGATATCTCAGACTGATAATCTTCAGAAACGAATGGAGGCAATGAAGGAGGTAAATGTTAGTGTTACTGTAACTCTCTGAACGTCTGTGCCACCACTGGAATCAGGATAGTCATAAATGACTCTTAATGCTTTGATCATGTCGAAAGGCGTAAGCAAGATTATATGTATCTTTTGTTCATGGTGTGAATCTTGCTTTTAGAGAGGAGATATTATTTACATGTATACATAAAATGGTTCAATATCTCAGCTCATAGTACAACCAGGCCTGCATGCCTTTTTAATGAGACAGAAAAGACTCTTTGCTTTATTTCAAGGTGATACAAGATTTTGGTAAGAAAGGAGTTTTTCTAAGTCCTTATTGTCACATAGTTTGGTCTGTTTGTCTATTATAGTATTATTATATATATAATATAGAAATGGAATTAACAATTAACATTAAGCTGGAAGAGAGATGGCTCAGCCCACTAGTTCATGTGACTGACTCAGTCATTCAGAACCTTTGTCAAAAAGATTGTACCAATATTTTTGCGGAATTTTTTGCCACTGAAGAAAATATTAGATAACCTTGTATTATTATGTATCAGTTTATAATAGTAAAAGTTATTTTATCCCAGACATTTGATGAAGTAACTCTAACCTCATTGTTTTACAAAGTAAATGTACATGTATTAGATCATGCTAGTTTTATCCCAGTCATTTTATAAAGATGTAAATCATTATGATTTCAGTACCAGGATGATATCACAGAACTAAATGACATTGCCAAACACCGACCAAGATCCCATCTTATCATAGGTATAGCACAGGAGAACCGGCAGATCCGGGAGCTGCAGCAGGAGAATAGGGAGTTACGCCTGGCACTCGAGGAACACCAGTCTGCTCTTGAGCTTATTATGAAAAAATATAGGGAACAAGTCAACACATTGATAGAAACTAATAAATGGGAAAAGGCTCTTGCAACTGGTACTGATCAATCTCAGGTAAAACTTAGGAAATAGAATTTAAATTTGCATGTCTTCAGATGAGTGAACAATCAAGATATCAATCTATTTAAATATCTATCAAAACATTTATAGGGAATGTAATATTATTTGTGATCATTGTCACACTTTTATCTGTTGTATGCAAAAATAGGCAGTATTTTCTATTATCTTATTTTTTACATGTGCAGTTTTATTCATCTTGATAAAGAACCAGATAGGTTTGAAACATTGATCTTAATCAAAATATTCCTTAAAAAAATTCAGGGACTAAAATCAATACAATATGTTTACAAATAACAATTTTGTGACAGTTACAAATCGCAAGAGGTATACAATTCGGCTCACGCTGATGATAAAACAAAATGACGTTCATGACGTCCCAAAGTTAATGAAAAATTACACCAGTGTCATTTTTTCTGAAAGTACTCTTAAATTTTAAGTTTTCAATCTCTCTGGACCATATTTCTGTTTGTTATGATGAAGCAAGAAAGAAAGTGGTCATCTTTACGCTCCATTCTCCGTATAAGGGTCCAAAAGCAGGCCACTTTCCGCTCTTTATTGTGATTTTTAAGTGTTTGTGATATCAAACAAACCAGGGTAAATACATGGAATCTAGATAGAAACTACATTTATTTATTGTTAACACGCATATATCCATGTGGAAAAAAACAACAAAACATTTTGTTTAAATAAGATTGTTTTGTCAGAATTGAATGTGTATACCCCATGCAGGAATTAAACATGCCTGACAGCTTGCTAACCTTTCATACTGTCCATCCTCCTGTAGATCCTTTGTTGCAATTGACGTTACAAACAACCTCACAATTGGCAACTTTCTCCCTCATCCTTTCTTATCTGTGACCATGTATTCGCCTTCTTTGAATGGCTTGCGCCACCTGAAACCAAGAGACTTGCTCCCGACTCATTGCCCTTCATTAATTTAACCACCTCATGTGAAGGTGAAGGAGTATCCCATATTTGTTGGCAAAACTTTCCGAAAGTGCGAATTTCTTGCTTATAAATGGGCGTCATATTTCGCAATTTACGCTACTGTCAACTTCTGCTCAAAAACTTATTTGTTTAGCTATTCAACGTCCAGACAACGTCAAATTTAAGATTTATGTCATTTAAATATAAATAGATGTTAACTTGTATGTATTTCACCTCATGAAATAACCATTCAATTCATTTCAATATTTGTTTATATTTAAATATTATATGAAAATTTTGGCGTGTGCTGCATTGTTGTGGTTATTAAAGTGCACCTGGCACGAAAAGGAAATAAAGGTTTAAGATAGAAGTAAATTATACTTTTAGAAATAAAGACACTCTTTTGTTTCATATCAAATAAGGTTATTTTTATGAACAAAGTAAAAAATGACAGCAAAAGTCCACAAACTTTATGAACATACCTGGTATGGTTTCTTTGTATTCTTCCTTTTAAACCAGTTTTTTTTTTCTGTATTGTGTAAGGACTATTTTGACTTTATTTTAATACATTATTAGAACAGTATGGATTGCAAATGCTTTTGCCTTCCTAAATTATGCATATATTAAGTATATATCAAAACTTTAATACTTTAAAAAATTCTAATATCAAGTCAAAATAATTTACAATACTGCATATTTAAAACATCAATTTGGAATGGACAATATAATAGTAATGTTATAATATGTGTAGACAGTAAATAACATTGTATATCTTTAACAAAGGCAGCTATCAAGAACAATTTTTAATTTGTTATAAAGATGTTTTATTTGGCTGTGCTTAAATGGTTGTTAGATATACAATAAATAAATAATTCTTGCCTTGGGTATTTAAACCTTCGCAACCAAAAATTATTACGATTTTCAAAAACTGACCTCAAATTTTTTTATTAGGACATGGATAAGCTAATCAACAAGATCTGTGAAATGGCCAACATCATGCAGAAATCTGTGAATGTTGACGAGGATGCCTCTGCCCAAGATAAAGAGAGACTTACTCAGCTAGAAATAGAGAATAATGGACTTAGAGAACTTCTTGAAATATGCTCAACTAGTCGATTCCGAATTCTCAATGAGTCAGTTACAGATGATAAAGGTTGTCAAACCGGGCAAGATGAAATAAGTGCACCGGAAGCGAAGAGCAATTTATTGGAACCGGAAAAACAGGAGACGGAAGACGATGAAAAATCCGGGGAAAAAACTCCAAGAAATGAAGAGCCATCATGATTTTCCTATATATAACTGTTTAATTACTTGTATAATCTTACACTTAATGTTCGGGTCAAGATAAATGACCGTGTCAAACTAACAAGAGATCTGTTCTGTAAACCACTGTATATTCACAATGTAATGACCGATATACAAGAGGTTGTCAAGTCTTCCAGAGGTTTTAAAGAGCAATGTCAATATATAATAAATATTAAAGGAACTCCACTGCGGGCCAAAAGCATAAAAAAAATAAAATTTAAATTTCTTGCACATACAAGTTGTAAAACTTAAAACACAAAGTTATGCAAGTATACTCAGAAATAAATTGAAAATCGTCTTTTTGTGTGAAATACATGTGGAAATATGCTCATTGTTGAACAATCCACTTTATCACTCTAATCAATATACATTCTAACCATTGTGTTGTACACAAACTTTTGGCACAAGTAGCAACAATTTTATCTATGTTAAAACTGGGGTAATCAGTATCTGGCACTGACCTCGTCAACAGGGAAGTGTAGCTTGCATTCAAAACAACTAGTATTTTAACAAAATAATAGTGCTATAATTATTAACATCTTACAAATATTTCATCGCAAGAATTGTTTTTGTATGTTATTTTCAACTACCTTTTGCTATTTTTTGTTTATAAGTTATATTATAAACTAACAAAATATGTAATCAGTCACTTTGTCTGTCCATTTTTGTATTATTTATTTCATGTGTAAAACAAATAAATCAATATAATGAAATTAGGCTTTTGTTATTTTTTTTAGCTGACCTAATCACTTTTGAGCACAAAGTACTCGGTGTGTCCAGCGTCTGAAGTTACTCCATAATTTCTTTTAAACAACATCTCCATAACCATATGATGGATTTGACCAAACTTCACAGAAATGATCATAAGATGGTCCTCTTCAAAAGTTATATAAATATTCTTCCTGTCTGATGCTTGAGTAGGTGACAATAGGGGCTTACAATAGACTTTGAAAATGAATTTTAAAAACTTGTCTTCTTAGAAACCACAATGCCTAGGACTTAGATACATGCAATGTGGTCCTCAAGAAAGTTACTTTAATCCAACCCCTTAGGTAAATAATGGCTCTGCCCTAGGGGTCACTTAGTTAACAATAACTTTTATTAAGTGAAAATGTCTTAAAATTCTTCTCTGAAAGTATAATGTCCAGAGCTAAGATATTTGGCATGTAGAATTACGTTGTGGTCCTCTACCAAAGTTTTATAATTCATGCCCCAGTTAGGTGGTCAGTTATATAAACTTGATTAGGAGAATGCATTTAGGTCTTCTTTTGTGAAACTAGAATGCCAAGAGCTTAGATATTTGTCATTCAGCATTTCTTAGCAGACATCTTTAAATATTTTAACAAAGGTCATAATTCTGTATTAGAGTTGTGTGCCTTGGACAGTAATCTATTATGCTCTCAAACAAGTGTGTGAAGTTTCATCCCATTCCTTTTAATATTTTTGAAAATACCATCTTGTATGCAAAAACTTAATAAAAGTGTGATGCTGACGCCTTTGTGAGTAAAAAGCTGTTTGAAGAATAGGGAGAACCAAACTTTGACAAAAACAGTGTGACACTGACATCTGTGCGAGTACAATACATGTAGCTCTCCCTATTTTTCAAACAGTTGAGCTAGAAATTGGGCAGCTGTGGTAATAAATGGCAAACCCACTGTGACCTTATTACTAACAATAATAAAAATACAAAAATAAAATTGTGACCTTTTCTAATAATGTATCTCAGGTGAGTGGTCCAGGCCATCAGTGTCCTTGTTTTCTAAATTTTATTTTCTTTATCAGTATTCAAACATTTTTCTGTTTCTTCATTAGTAGGCCAATTATTTTTCTTCAGACTTGTTTTTACCCAATACTGAAACAAAAATAAACTGATACTGATGGTTGCTACCTGGTACTGCTTTAAAGCGGCTAAAAAGAACATTGGTCTTTGTTCCTGGGTAATAAACAAAGGACAAGTAAGAGCGTAAAACCTTACCACTCTTAATATTTTGAATTGACAATCTTCTTTCCGAACAAAACCAGTCATAATTTATACAGAATATTTCAAAATATATACTGACTGAATAGCAAACTGTGCAGACCATGATCAGCTGGCATCAAATATAACTTGCATAGAGCATAGAAACTATGGGCATAAAGAAAAAACAAACTAAAATTGTTTTAATTATATATTTTATTATAAATTTATATTAAACCTAATAACAAATGTATTATACACTTTACCAGAGTTGTAGTTAAATAGATTTATCTATGTCTCTTACTCTACATAAGTTATAATTAACATGATAAAGAGTATAATTACCCATGAGTGTGTGTGTGTATATATAAATCGAGTTTAAAAAATACCCCAACATTTTCTAGTATCCTGTTTGAAAACAAACAAGAGCTGCCACAGGAGACAGCGAAGCTCGACTAATAAAAAATACTGGACGCAGTAAGGAGGACAAAACTATGAAAGAAAAATCAATTATGTATAATTATGTATTAAGTTATAGTAAAAAAATAATATTTGTTAACATAAATTCAAAGATCAAGGGGAATAATTCTAGAAATAGTCATGCTAGAGTTATGGACCTTGTCAAACAACATTTGTGTAATGATAAGAAATATATTTGAAGTTTGAAGTAGATACCTTAAAAAGTAAAGAAGTTATTATATTTCTTAATGAAAATCCTAAGTTCAAAGAGAGATAAATGTGTAAATATTGCTTCAAGAGTTATGAACATTGTCACATTAAATGTAATTGATGATAAGGAATAAGTATTTGAAGTTTGAGGTAGATACCTTTAAAAATAAAAAAGTTATAATAAAAAATAACATTTTTCTAGTAAAAAAAATCTAAGTTAATTGGGAGATAATTCTTGCAATATTGGTGCTAGAGTTATGAACCTTGTCACATAAGATGTGGATGATGATAACGTAAATATATTTGAAGTATGAAGTTGATCCCTTTAGAAATAAATAAGTAACAGTAAAAAAAATATTTTTTATGGAAAATTCAAAGGGAGATAAATCTGAAAATATTGGTGCTAGAGTTATGAACCTTGTCACATAAGATGGGGATGATGATAACGTAAATATATTTGAAGTATGAGGTTGATCCCTTAAGAAATAAAGAAGAAACAGTAAGAAATAGTACTTTTTGAAGAAAATTCTAAGTTCAAGGGGAGATAAATCTGAAAATATTGGTGCTAGAGTTATGAACCTTGTCACATAAGATGGGGATGATGATAAGGTACATATATTTGAAGTATGAGGTTGATCCCTTAACAAATAAAGAAGTAACAGTAAAAAATAGTATTTTTTAAGGAAAATTCTAAGTTCAAGGGGAGATAAATCTGAAAATATTGGTGCTAGAGTTATGAACCTTGTCACATAAGATGGGGATGATGATAAGGTACATATATTTGAAGTATGAGGTTGATCCCTTAAGAAATAAAGAAGTAACAGTAAAAAATAGTATTTTTTAAGGAAAATTCTAAGTTCAAGGGGAGATAAATCTGAAAATATTGGTGCTAGAGTTATGAACCTTGTCACATATGATGTGGTTGATGATAAGGAACATATATTTGAAGTTTTAAGTTGATACCTTAAGAAATGACAAAGTTATAGTGAAAAATATTTTACTGCACCAAAACTTTAATCTAAAATCTGGACGCGGACGCCGACGCCGGGGCGAGTAGGACAGCTCTCCATATACTTCGTATAGTCGAGCTAAAAAAGAGAAACAAAGACACAAGTACATAAGCTGATACCTCAAGAAAATAGCAAAAAAGATGCACAATTATATCACAATTGAGAAAGACAGAAACATATTGCATGAGTAATCTATATAATGATATAAACAATCATCAAGGCATACATTATAAATAAATGTACATGTATAATTATATAACATTTTTATATTACTTGTTTGATTTAAACATTTTAATCAAAATTGAATGTGTAAATAAATTCTTGCAACTTTAGTTAAATAAAACGAATTTTCAGGAACTTGCAATCACAATTGTTATTTGAGAAACAGAGTTGTCCTGAAGAGGCTTGAACCCATAATGTAAACTAGAACTATCGCTGAATGCGATTCATACCCCCACCAATGACCTTGACAGAAGACGACTACCGGCACAAATACATATACATAAAGAGAAATTATCTCTGGTGCAAAAAAGACTAATTGTACAGGTATTAGTATAAATATATATTGTTAAATCATGTTCGAAACAGTTACAAATAACCTTTCATTTTCCCAATGTACTAGACATTTTCTAAGTCAATTTTTGACCTTCAAGTGTGGCCTAGACCTTAAGCTGGCACAAGGGTAAGATGGGTTCTGCACATTGCCCAGTTAGGGTGAACATTTGAGTAAAGTTTGAAGAAAATCCTTCCATTAGTATAGAATTTATAGAACGGACATAACATATTGTCTAGTATTGATTGTATGTAAATTTAAAGACTTAAAAAGGGGCATAACTTTGTCAAAATGCAATACAGAGTTATGAAACTTGACCTGCATATCTTATTTGTGACACCCCATATATCTTTTAAGTTTCAAGCAAATACCTGTGCTAGTTTCAGAAATATTCAAGTACATGTTAAAATTTAAGAACATTTTCTAAGTCAATTTTTGACCTTCAAGTGTGACTTTGACCTTTAGCCAGCACAAAGGTAACATGTATTCTGCACATAACCTTGTTGAGGTGAACATTTGAGTAAAGTTTGAAGAAAATTCTTCCATTAGCATAGGAGTTATAGAGCGGACACGACATATTGTTTAATATTTGATAAATGTAAATTTGAAGACTTAAAAAGGGGCATAACTTTGTTAAAATGCGACACAGAGTTATGAAACTTGACATGCATATCTTAATTGTGACACTTCATATATATTTTAAATTTCAAGCAAATACCTTTTCTAGTTTCAGAAATATTCAAATACATGTTACAGTTTAAGAACATTTTCTAAGTCCATTTTTGACCTTCAAGTGTGACCTTGACCTTAAGCCGGCAAAAGGGTAACATAGGTTCTGCACATAACCTTGTTGAGGTGAACATTTGAGCCAAGATTGAAGAAAATCGTTCAATTAGTGTAGGACTTACAACGCGGACACAACATACTGTCTAATATTTCATTGTTTGATATTTGACCTTCAATTGTGACCTTGACCTTGAGCTGACACATGGGCAACATGGGTTCTGCTCATCCCGTTGTTAAGGTGAACATTTGAGCCAAGTTTGAAGAAAATCTTTCAATAAGTGTAGGAGTTACAGAGTGGACACGACATACTGTCTAATATTTCATTGTTTGATATTTGACCTTCAAGTGTGACCTTGACCTTGAGCTGACACATGGGCAACATGGGTTCTGCACATCCCCTTGTTAAGGTGAACATTTGAGCCAAGTTTGAGGCAAATGAGCTCATAAACACCACCTGCACCAACGTCCATAAGCAAAATAAGCTCATAAAAACAAAAAAATAGCTCTTAATTTGAATTTTATGAGTTTATGTTCTTTATTTAACTACGGAATGAAGCTCATAATAATTAAATGTTGGCTCGGACGGACGGACGGACACGACAAAGCGAATCCATTATAGCCCCCCCCCCCACATTTTGTGGTTGGGGTATAATAAGAGGAAGACACCTTAACTGCAAAAATACCTGGAGAAAAGTGATCACTCTGAAGCATTAAAAACAGCAAAATTACATAACACTTCATATCAGTCTTAATATATTATCAGCTTTGTCTAAGCATTATTCATCATGTAAAATATACAAGAAAGTAGCTTTGGGGGGATTAATTTCTCTTTGAAAATCAGAATTGAGCTGGCCAGAAGTACAGGAGACATTTTCATAATAAGAAGTTACAAGAGACAATCAGCGCCAAATATATACTTTGTATACATGTAATGTATTATCACATAATAATGATATATAAGCCATTTTGAACAGCAATAATTATGAAAATAAAAATAATGATAAAAATATATAACAGATGAAATAGAAATATATGTCATATCTATACAACATTGACAATCAAATATTTAATAATTATTGAATTACATGTACATCATTCCAATTGGTGAAAAAAGCCATTAATTGTTGGAAAAATTACAGGATGGTTTCTATTAAGAAACAAATAGCAAATAGTCTGGCTTAGTAGCTCTGTTTTGGCTAAATTTTCCATTAAATTTTTACAGAACTTTATACATTTTTTCCAGTATTCTCTTATCTGTATTTTTTTTTGTGTTTTTTTTAAAGTTTTTTTAAAGTATTCCTGGTCGATTATATTCCTCCTCAGTACTGTCCGTTTCCTCATCCTGCAATGCATTATGGGTAGTGCCGTAAGAGCTAGGATAACCTCCCCTTATAAGTGGTTGATTTTCAGATGGCCTATGTGTAGTAGTTGGCCTATGTGTAGTAGTTGGTGTCTGAAGCAGACGGCGTAAATCTTTTGCCCTGTCTTGCATCTGGCGAGGCGAAGGTGGGAATGGGGCTTTCTTCCTCTCACGAAAGAGCTGAAACCCTGTTCCGAGAATTAGTAGAATACCCCAAACAACAGTTAACGTGATTTCTGAAAGGTTCAATTAAAGGATTTTTTACAAGATTTTCAGTGATTATAATTTAGGCAGATTTAAAAGTTAAAAATATTAAGAAAATACTACATGGACTTTCAAATTACTCATTAAAAAAAAATCCAATGATTGACAGGGACATTAACTGAATCAAAAACATGCATATATAGCTCCAATACTGGTCCTGAAAATAAAATCTTGGATTGCACTTTTGTTGACTATTCAAGTCTAATGCACATAGTTCCTTCATTGACAATAAAATATGACATTTGTTATAACAACTTATAATATTTTAAATGGACTTGCCCACCTTGTCAAACCCATTCAAGATTTTAATGAAAATTTTCAATATATGTACTGACTGCAAGTGAACAGCGCAGACCATGATCAGATGGCACAGATGGTTAAATGCAGTTACCCTAGCAGGCTAAGGGTTAAAAACACATAGTTCCAAATTCAAAAGCAAGACAATTCTGCTATACTTAATCAGAAGTGTGAGTGATAGTAGCACATAAGTTCTAATAAGTATCAAAATATCCTTACAACAGCTTTTCTCTACTCCCGATGAAGTAACATTTTGGATGTTTTCTTGTGAAATATGTCATACACTTTTTACACCTAATTTCTACCTGATAAATTTTCTTACTAATGCAGCAAGTGCTAATCCTACTTAATTTGTAATTTCCGTGGATATCCCATGACTCAAGGATAGGTAAAATCACTAATTAGTAGTATATTTGACATTATATTAACTCATTGGAGCAATTCTAAAATTTATACATCATTAATATGGAGATATATTGTTTTAAATAGTAAGACACATATACAAACCATGATGTGTGTAAGGTGCAGTCAATGTCAAGGTAACATAGGATTTATCTGTTCCATGTCGTATAGAGTTCAGGATTATGACATGTAATGCACTGTGTAAATACATGTCAAACATGAGAACAAAAGTGAATGCTCCAACCATTGCACAGCTGAAAATACTCAACTGAAACGAAAGAAAAATTATGTATTTTTTAGTTTAAGTACATAAAAACAACACATTTCATATGTTGAATTTAAAGGTAGACATGAGGTAGCTCTCCCAGCATCATTTAAGACATAAGCAGGCACCACTGACCTTCCTTAACTAGCTGGAGGATATAATTAGAAAATCGAAAAGGTGGAAATCAAACGTACAGCAGTGAAGGGTAAATGATTCAGCAACTTTAACTACTTAGCCATGGATGCCCTAAATGATGTATCTGTGATATTATTTAAATAGAAACTAATGTCATTTGGGAAAGAGAAAAACTGATGATCAACATAATATTGACAAAAAATGAAACACTTATCAAGTTGCATGTCTCCAGATGATTAACAATTTATTTTCTACAAGTCAAACTGAAGAAATTGTGTGAAAGAAATCTTTTAACCCTCAGCATGCTAAATATCTTAAATGGACTTGCCCATATTAGAACTCTATCAATATTTTGATTTTCAAGAAATATTTTATAAGATTACCCAAATGATAATTTTTTTTGTTTCATCAATAATTGAAATACTTATGGAAAATGTGCCCATTGTAGACCAATCCACTTCAAATTGCAAATTAAAGCCATGATAATATGATAATAACATGCTGCTTTAAACACTAGACTTTCAATCACTGTCATTTATATAAACTATGATATTATATTAAACTAAAACACTAACTAATTAACTTACAAATCTTGTAAAAAAGAGTAGGAATACTGGAATGACCAGCACTCCACAAGCAAATGTAGCTCCATAGTTAAACGGTGATTGGAGATAAGTGAGATTGCCTGAAAATTTAATATATTTACTTCAACTACACAATAGACAAAATAGACCAGTAGGTTTACATGTGCAGTATAGAATGATACAGAAGGAAAAAGAAACTCTTGTATCATTAAAGCAAAAACCCTAAAGAGTTCAAATTGAAAAAATATTCCAACCAAACTAGACTTCCTGGTGTATTGACATGTCTCACCAGTGGCAAGATAATAAGGATAGATTTAATGAAATATTTCAATAAACTCATGTATCTTGTTAACTTTCAGACTATGACTTGTGTTTCAAAAACATAAGTTTAAATAAACTTTTTTCAGATACCTTAAAGTGATCATTAAGGTATGAACGCTATTATTTCATGAACTTACCAAATGGAGTGTAAAACAATGTACTGGAAATGAGGTACCCAGTGACCAGACCTATAAATAGAACGTTTATCACTGGTATCCCATAATTCCACCACAAACCAAGCAGCAAAGTGCCTCCTATCAGTCCAAATATGGCCGCCAGAGCAAGAGTTCCAACAAAACTAATATCTGTTGCCAGTGCTAGAACTTGGTAAAAGATGAGACCAAAAATCAGAAATCCAAACGCAAAGTTTTCTGAAATGCAAAGCAATACATGACTGTAAAACAAAGTTATCATACAGGACTGAAAATGAAAACAAATGTACGAGAAATAAAACATTACTATCATCCTTTTAAAGCATTATGAAAACTTATATTGAATAATAACAATTTAAGGAATCATTGACCACTGTACCATGTTCCTAATTTTAACATTCAAATACATTATTATACTAGATTTATTGACTTACACTCAAATCAGACATTAAAAGTCATGAAAAATCACTGACTAGGCCTTATACTGTTGGTAGCTCAATTTTTGTATTTTTTATATTGAAACCCTCTCTATTATCAATAGACTGTTCCAAATTCAAAGCAAATGAAATACATTACAAAAATTTAGCAGGTAAAAGTGATTCCACTGAGGTTCTTTGACAAGATGGGACTGGAAATAATTTTTTGAGATAAATGTTCTATTTAGTGTAACTTGTGTGCAAATTTTCAGATTATTAATTAATTTGGCTCATTCCGTATTTCCTAATAATTATTTTGTGAAAACTAACCCAAAATTGAAAAGCATTGCAACACTTTTCACTCAAATCGGGCTTTGAATACCGGTAGCACAAAATACGATTTTCAATTTATTTCTGATTTTATTTCTTGGTTTCCTTTTACAAATCTTCCTCATTGAAGTGTCCCAGATAATTAATGTAAGAATTTCAAATTTTATGTTTTTATGCTTTTGTACCTCAGTGGAGTTCCTTTAAAGGTAAAGTGAGTAACATTCTATTATGAAAGTAGAGTGAGAAATATTTTTCTTTTACAAGCCTTGTTACCACCCAATGGGCATATATCCTAGGGATGGATATTCTGATTGTAAACCGTGAAGCATGACAGACATTATTCTAAATGTGCCTAGATGACAAAATTATGACATACCTATTCTGAAGAATCTGTGACCAAAGAAACACAGGAACAGACCAACTAATCCTCCAATAGTTGACAGAACTAAACTTGCTATATCTGAAATAAAAGTTGACTTTTATGATTAAAAATCTAAATTATCAGTTAAGTTAGCATGATTTAATGTCTACTAAATACTTATAAATAATGTTTTAAAGTGGTTTTATTTAAAATATTATTTTCTATAAAGAATATGTACATTTTCAAGAAAACTATAAACTATAAACACAAGTACTGTCAATACTATGTATCATTAAACATTTCCTTTTTTAAAAAACAAACTATACATTTAACTGTATTTTATTAGTTATAAAGATATTTCACAGGTTATATGACCCTATATAGTAGAGTGACAATGTGCTCAAAAGTAGCTTAGATAAGGAATTTTAGGTTTTTGCAGTAGAACAAAACATGTTATACACCAAAATGTTAACCAAGGTCTGTAGTATCTGAAACTGCCGGCATAATTTTTCTATGAGTGGTGCCAGCTGAGAAATCCAAGATGGCGTCCAAGATGGCCGCCAAAAATAATATTTTTCCTGATTTTATAAAGTCCAAATTTAGACTTATTGTCATTTTGATATCAATAAGTATTGGTTTGGATATTATTTGTTTGGACCTGAACATTAATTTAATGGTCCTTCATGATGTTTAAAAAGTCAAGGTCAAGGTCATTTCAAGGTCATTATTCAAAAAATAACCAAAAACTTTAAAATTCCACATTCTTCATGAATTTATATGATTATTAAAAGTTTCAAATGTTATTAAACATGTTCTAAAATGTCTAACAGGGCTTTTCTTATTATGTGTGGTGCAAGCTGAGAAATCCAAGATGGCTTTTCCTAATTTCTGAAGTTACAATAGAGACATTCTGTCATTTTGATACCGGTAATTATTAATGTGGTCATAATTATTAGTGTGGTCATAATTGTTTGGATCTTAACATTATTTTGATGGTCTATCATGATGTTTAAAGTCAAGGTCAAGGTCATATCCAGGTTATTATTTAAAAAATAACCAAAAACATTAAAATTCCACCATCTTCATGAATTTATATGATAACTAAAAGTTTCTTATGTAATTAAACATGTTCTAAAATGTCTAACTGGGCTTTTTCTTATTATGTGTGGTGTAAGCTGAGAAAGTCAAAGGTCATTTCAAGGTCATTGTTTCAAAAGTAACCAAAAAATAATTTCTGAAGTTGAGACATTCTGTCATTTTGATATCAATAAATACTAGCATAAGTTTGTTTTGTTTGTTAGGACCTTAACATCAGTATGATAATCCATCATGATTTTTAATAATCATATATAAGCCAGTGTAAGTGGTTGTGAATGGTAGACCGCAGTTATGACTGCAATCTATGATTAGACTTATTCAACTAATCATGCAGTATTTTCAATTATGCATGTTTTGGTATTTTTATAAGCTTTAAATTTTATTTGTTTTTTTTTGTTGTTTTTTTTGGTTGGTACAATATAGATGACCAAACTCTTCACATTTGCTGCATAGAGAAATACCATTTCTTACCTCAGAAAGCAATGGTAGATTTGATATATTAGTCATCATTATTTCAAATACCACGAAATGTACAATAGAATACAGTCAGTAAAACAATAATCTGGCAGCAAATTTTTTTTTATTGCCTGACAAGGCATTCACAATGCCATGTACAAATGTCAGTGTATGTTCTGTCTGTGCAATCTTGCCTAAATTCCAAGTCATTTTGGAAAAATGTACTTAACCTATTTGGAAACTTTTACAATGTAACAATTGGCCTTAAACTGGGAAATATAATCATTTATATGCAATTTGGAGAAATAAAGAAAAACAGAATCCTTAAAGAAAGCCCAACACGGCAAAATTGTAAAATGTTATAGGCTTGGTTTGATTGAGCCTGTTCATGGACGGTACTGGAAAGTGCAAGTTACCGTCCGCCCCCTAGCACCGACTTAAGCAGAATTCAACATTAAACACGAAAATGGTGAAATTATGAATTTAGAAACATCCACAGATGTGTTCATACGGCGGTTATCATGGAACCTTCAATGTTACACAGTAGTGTCATTCCATGAAAAGCGGCATATGGTCCCCAAGTAAAAGAATGCGTGTGCCCTAAACGAGAAAACAATGGGCGGAACTAAATAAAATGGAATTTTGAAAGGGGATCTAAGGTTATGAAGCCTGCATATCACAGTAACCCAAAAAATCGAAAGTTTAATGAAGTAGGTTGAAACACAATATATGTTGTTTTTGTCTATTTCAATTCAAATTTCTGTATCAAAGCATGGAACAAATTGCAAAGAAATCAATGAAAAAGCAAAATGTATGCCCATCAAATTTATGAACACAAAGGGAACACAGTCATGTTCACCCTACATTTTTTTTTTTTGGTGCAAATATCCGCCTCAAAGCAAGACAACGATAGGTGCATCTCCCCTTGGTATTGATTGTTTCAATTAAGTTTCATTGAATTCCAGCAAGTAATTGCAGAGAAATAGCAAGGAAGTGATTTTTGCTCTGTATGCATTCTGTATCACTAATCAAGGGTCATAACTCTGTGTTGAACTGTCTGACTGGAACAAGGGGTTGATATGCACATCTCTTCTTGGTATTGAAGGTTCCCATAAAGTTTCATTGAATTCCAACCAGAACTTGCAGAGAAGTAGCATTAGCATGGAAATAAGTATTGCTCTTTATGCATACTGCATAACTAATCAAGGGCCATTACTCTGTGTCAAAGGTCTGACCCGAACAAGGCAACTTTATGCACATCTCCTTTTGGTATTGATGGTTCCCATAAAGTTTCATTAAATTCCATCCAGTAGTAGCAAATAAATAGTGCAGAAACAAAATTCTGACGGACAGATGGACAAAATTAAGGAAGGGGGCGGGGGCAGACCAAGCCAAAACAATATTCTCCTCCCAATTCCATCAGTAAGGGATAATAAAGCACAGTTGCCTGAGATCATTAAGGTCATAAAGTGTAATCCACAGTGAAACTGGCAAAAGGCACAGCAAGTTTTACTTACTTTCACTCAGCTTTGTATAAAGTACTAGGTGTATATCGGTTCCTTCCATCTACCATAATTATTTGTAGATGCATGCCACCTTAGCCTTGTTACCAAAGTTACAAAGATCAAATCTGACTAGCTGACAATTCATGAATAAAGACATAAATATGCCTAGTGTACAACATAATCTTGGTTTTGCTATATAGATTGCTGTCACCTAATATCGTAGAGTCAAGAAAAACTTATACAGAACATACACGCTGAGTTTTTCAGAAGAGGGTGGTTGTTGAGCCTGCAAAACCGCCATAGTATCAAATTCAATAGTTTCAACGACAAGTTAATTATTTTAAGTGTACATTTGATTTAGCCATATTGTCTCAACTAAGTATTAAAATTTTAATAGGTTATCAGCTCCATCAGACAGTTCCAAAGTAAATTTTTGAAAAGTATTTCAACCATGTCAAACCACATCAAACTCTTGTGAACATCTGCTGATGTCCCTGCACATCATGTACCAAAATTTACCAGTTAAGTTGGCATGCCAGATATTCCAAATGGGTCAATAAAAGTGCCTTAAGTTAACCACAACTCACTGTATGGCATGCAAGTTTATAGAATGAATATTAGTGTCATGTGGGATAATGATGTGGAGTCATAATTATCATCCTTTAAAGATGTAAGAAAGCATTCTGTTGTAAGATGTCTAGAAAGATGCTGAGAAGCATTAGTCTACCATAACAAACCCAATCACATGCCCTCAGAATATCTCAGTAACCTTCAAAACTTAGTCCATCCAAACAAAATTCAAGTTTCAGTTTAAAGTTTATCAGTTTTGTTACAAAGCTACCTTGAAGAAAGCTCTGCAAAATCTCAGAGGAGGTCATTGTTCATTTAATATCAAGAGGTCTCATGCCAAAATATACAAAGTATCAATTCTTGCCTTTATTCACAATCACTTGCTTCTTGACATGTTTTAATAAAAGAAAAAGGAAAATTGGTCAAATTGTTTTGTTGGATATTTTGTGAGACCCAGATTATCATGTTCTACAATAGACTGACACATGGAGACCGATTAAATGAATTTCCAGTTAATTATGCAATGTTAACAGCTTACTCCAAGCAGAATTCTGTCAATAAGGAAGCATTTCTGGTCCTCATAAAAACTATTCTTGTCTATGGAATACAATCATGCAACTTGTATATCTAAAATACCATTAAAAACATTCATTATGAGTACCGTATGACATATCATATTTCTTCAAAAAATAATGGCCCTGCTTTGAAAATATAAAGTATTATCATACTCAGATATTCCAAAGGAATTATTTCATAAAAATAGCATTCCTTTATCAAAACATAATTAAAAAATAAATAAAAAAAATTCTCGAAAATACTTTGTATATGATTCTGTACATAAATGTACCCTGGACAACTGAAGCGTACACAAATAACAATGTGTTTCTACAGCATAGATAGTTACCTACATGTGTGCATAAATTTGATTATTGCATTAGTATGGTATATTTATGGATTCCAATGTTATTACTAAAGAAATAGTATGAAGTTACACACTATGATGACTTTTTATTTGAATTACTATAAGCGTAGCCATTGAACGTCTGAAGGCATCATGTACGCCATTTTCTCATGCATACTTCTTTGAAAACAGTCCATAAATGCTAGATTGTTGTCATTAACAATTTTTGTTATTATAAATTCACTATATGTACAAGTTGCTGACTGAATATATGGGAGAATATAAAAATTGCTGACATGAACATAACCCTGAGCTTGTGCCTTGGATAATATTTATCTCATTCAGGCTATATTCTCCCATATATATCCCATCAGACTTGTTTAACTACAAGTATATACATGTAAATGCTATACCTGAAATGCTAAAAATAGACAATGTACAAGGAAAATGTTTTGACAATGTAGTTTTTCAGCATTGTAAACAAATACATTTGAATTGACCAAATATATAACTTGTGGGAAAATGTATAATACCCATGAGCAAGGCTAAAAACGTTTGTATTACAGCAACGTTTTCTTCATTTAATCACTTATTAGATTTCAAGAGTCAACCAAATAAAATATATAATAAAATTTGCACAAAACAATTTAATGGGTCCTAAATTTAATTCAGAAATCTAATAAGTAATCATAATTTACACTGAAAAAAAAAACATAAACAAAAACTAATGAAAATATGTTCAAATTGCAAATCAAAGTACTGAAGTACAGACAAGCTGGTTGGCAGTTTATGATCAATTTGCATAAATTACACAAATTTGCATTCATTTGAAACAATTACATAAATTACATAATGTTTTAAACAATGTTTCCAGTCTTGGAAATGAAAATATGTTCTGACCTGTCCAAAGGGAATTTTTTTCTTGCTACTTATTTTGCTACTTTAAGACATGTTTAAATTATCAGTAACATTAATGTTGTGAATTATCATTTTCATCAAATGGCCTTGACCTTTATGACCTTTGCCTTGACAAGGCTTAGCTTTTAATATTATTTATGCTATATTAGTTTTATGTTTTATTTCTAAATAAGTATGTCCATATAAAATTTTGATAATAAATTATCTATAAAATTTCCACATTTGACATTCACATTTCAGGACATACAAAAATAGTGGAAGTGACCTTGATTGATGTTAAATTTCCGAATCTAAATCATTTGTACGCCAATTATTTTGGTATTGCTGAATGCTGTACACTTCAGTTATCACTTTGACATCTGTTTTGATAATAAGTTGTTAATAATTTTAACTTTTTTTTGAAAATATCTAATTAAAATATGTTTTTAGCAAGATTTTTTGCAAATGACCTTGAAATGACCTTGACCTTGAGTTTGAATTGATTGCTATAATATGTTAGTTAAAAGAACTTTATCATAGAAGTAATAAACATGCAATCATTAATTGATATATTTGTAGATAAGAAAACTGCATGTGACTTATAAAATTTCCTTCTATAAACAAATTATGGCGGCCATCTTGGACGCCATCTTGGATTTCTCAGCCCGCACCACATAAAGAAAAATTATGCCACCATTTCCTGATATAAGATGCATTTGCGGTCATTTTGGTATATAACACAATTTGTTCTACTGTTATGAAAATTTCACTGAGATTCAGCACCAATTGTCACCGTACTAATATATATAAATGGTTCTTTGTAAATATAACCAAAGCTGCTAGCGAGGATTACATTGCAAACAATCATTTATACACAGCCATAAAACCTGTCAACAAATTTACAATACAGCAAACTTCTTTTTTCAGAGAAATTTTTTTTTATCATCATAAATTGACAGCAGTCATGTATATAAAACAATATAAATGTCATGATTATCCAATGAAAAGCAATGTTAAAAAATGTGCGGTATTATAATACAATAGATATACACACCTCTTTGTTTGCATTTATCTGTGTGCTCAATATCACACCCATAGCTGACAACAGGAATATATACAGCCTGTGTGTGTACCCAAGCTTTGTTGAATTTTACTACAGTGTTGTACACAACCCCTCTGTGACTGTATGATGATACATCCACTTTAGATTTATGACCTTTTGTATTTGTAAACTTGTTCAACTGCAGAGAAAAAAATTAAAATTTTTTACACTGTGCTCCTCTTAGTTCACGGTACTTAACACTTTAAAACAGAAAAGGAAACAAGCAATGAACCTATGGTACAAAAACTGTCATATGCTGTATCATTTAGGTATTTTTTTACTATATGAAACTCAAGGAAACAAAAATATATTCAATCAAAATTAGTTTTAATGGGCCAGATGTAGACCCTGTGTCGGCCATTTTGAAAACACAATGTCATCATTTAAATTGCGGTAAATTGTGTTTTCATGTTTCAGTTTAAGTTTCTACATTGTATACTGCTCAATTTTAAATATCATAACTGTTTTTACTTTGTGACTCAAGATTTATTTTTTCAACAAACAAGAACATTTAGAAAATGATGATTGTTTCCAACATACGCAAAAATTTTATGGACTATTGAAGCTTTTTGCAGAAATTTGTAAAATGTTCTGTTTTACGTAAAAATCTAGAGATTTAAAATATTTTGCACAAAAACTTTGTTGTTTAGGTGTATGAATAAATTATATCAATTCTGACAAATTTTAACACTGGTCACATGGAAATATGCCATTACCGTGAACTAAGTGATGACACGGAATTAGTGATGTTGAGTATAGTATTTTTTAGTCAGACCAATATTGTAAAGGTCATTTACTGAAAAAGGGAGATTGAGGTGTTTCTTAGTGAATCATTTATTACAGAAGCCGGCACAAACCTTGTACGAGAAAGCTACATACAATACTCATTAAGAAAGACACCAAAGTTCATTGCATGATAAAGTCAACAGCAATAAGGAACAAGTGATTTAAAGTCTGAAACTTAAACCACTTTGCCACAGTAAATATTGATGCTTCGAGATTCAAAACTATTTTTAAACATTCTTTTTTCTCTCTCTTTTTATAATCACATACTAAAATCCAGAAAAAGTTTCAGCTAATTACCACATTTCCAGTAAAGATAAGACAGTTTACTCATTATTGCCACAATGATTATAATATTCTTCCAGAGAAGTCCTTGAGTTTTACATGCTTTAAACTGGTTATTCTTAGTTATTCTTACCACGAATGTCTAAAATTATCTCCAAAGATAATGAATGAAATTACTACTGAGCCTGATGATACATTTGGACTAGAAAGAGTTCAATAACAGTAAATTTTAGCAAAATAGATACATTGCTTTTTGGTCATATTGTGTTTGCTACAAAAATGTGTAGAACAAAGATTTAATATCAGAATACAAAAGTTTTGCTACAAACAGTACAGATTGTTCAGGCATGGATCGAAGATTTTTTACCTGAGGGGGTTACAAAATTTTGCCATGGGTAAATAAATACAAACAAGAATCGGTTGAACCGGGTGATGCTCCCCGAGAAGGTTCTGGACACAGGAAAGTATAAAAAAATGAACAAAGGGCAAAAACTCCAAAATTAGGCAAGGCGGAGTTATGTTTTTTTGCACTGCACTTCTATTCAATGAGATCTATCTATCTATCTATAAAGTTTCCTGATGATATCAGAGTTATGTCCCGGGTAAAATTCAAAGTGTAAAAATGAACAAAGGGCAAGAACTCCAAAATTAGACCAGGCTTTGTTTAGGTTCTTTAAGCATTGCAGTTCTATCCAATTATATCTAGCTACCTACAAAGTTTCATGTTGATATCTCTAATAGTTTTAAAGTTATGTCCCGGACAAAAGTCAAAAAGTAAAAATAAACAAAGGGCAATAACTTCAAAATAAGGCAAGGCAGAGTAATGATTCTTAAGCACTGCACTTCCACCCAATGAGACCTATCTATCTACAAAGTTTCATGTTGATATCTCTTATAATTTTAGAGTAATGTCCTGGACAAAGTTCAAAATAAACAAAGGAGAATAATTCAAAAATTAGGCAAGACAGAGTTACAGTTCTTGTGCACTGCACACCTACTCAATGAGATCTATCTACCTACAAAGTTTCATGTTGATACCTCTTATACTTTTAGAGTTATGTCCCGGACAAAGTTCAAAGTGTAAAAATAAACAAAGGGGGATAATTCAAAAATTAGGCAAGGCAGAGTTACGGTTCTTGTTCACTGCACACCTACTCAATGAGATCTATCTACCTACAAAGTTTCATGTTGATACCTATTATAGTTTTAGAGTTATGTCCCGGACAAAGTTCAAAGTGTAAAATAAACAAAGGGGAATAATTAAAAAATTAGGCAAGGCAGAGTTACGGTTCTTGTGCACTGCACACCTACTCAATGAGATCTATCTACCTACAAAGTTTCATGTTGATACCTCTTGTTGTTTCAAAGTTATGTCCCGGACAAGGAAAGGGGACGGACGGACGGAAAGACGGAAGTTCTAACAGGAGAGTAATTATGTGGCTACTCTATTGTTCTCTCTATTGTTCTTTTTAGCCACACAAAAGAAAATAGCCACATAAAAGCATTACGGAATGAATGACATCAAAGAGAAAGAACAGTTACCTATTGTCCCTCTAGCCACATAATTACTCTCCTGTGAGTGCGGACGTACCAAAATTTGATGTTTATGAGGCAAATCAGCTCATAACCACCACCTGGACCAACGTCCACAAGCAAAATAAGCTCATAAAAACAAAAAAATAGCCCTTAATTTGAATTTTATGAGCTTTTGTTCTTTATTTAACTACGGAATGAAGATCATAATAATCAAATGTTTGCTCGGACAGACGGACGGATGGATGGACGGACAAGGCGGCGACTATATGCTCCCCCGAAATTTTTCGGGGAGCATAAAAATGCTGCCAATGGGTAATGCATATAATTGGGGGAAGATCCACAAGTCAATTTATTAACATAATTTTAAACAAAAAAAAATTCATACCCATGTCCCATGTTTTTTGACATCGTCAACTGTTAACATTTGTTTTATGACACTGAAGTACCCGTCTTCACTAAAGTCGTCTGCTTCCATATATTTCACGTATATATGATATTCAAGGTCAGACTGGTACACTGTGTCCTCACACGCAGGATACATGCCAGATGAAGGGTCAACACCTGAATTTGACCACTCAAAATCAACTGAAAACAAAGTTCATTTTTTTGTTAAACATGTATGGTATATTAACTACATTGTTATATATGTTTAATATCTATAATAATATATTCAGTACTTTTATGTTATCTATGTTTCATATACATGTATATAAAATGATATTTAAACTATTTTTTTTTTTGTAAAATGATTATCATGTACATGTATAGAAGGTATCTTGTATCCTAAAAATGCATGTATGCTATGAAAAATCAGTTTCATTCTGTTAACATAAGTAATCATCACTGACAAATGATTGATTGATTAGGTTTTAGGTAACACCAACAATGTAAAGTTTATACAGCAACTTCCCAGCTTTACTTGTGCATGGGGTGGCAAAATTGTCCATATTGCCAAGGTTGTCCCTCAACCTGTACATGCAAGTGAAATTTTCCCAGAATTTACTTTTTAAATAACATACGGACAAGTAAGGGAATGCTTTGATTAAAATGGAAAAGTAAGTAAACATCAAATTTTACAAGCCCTGCTGGTGGAGGAAGACCTCAGGCACCTCTCTCTGCATTATTTCAGGCATGAGCAGGCACCCGAGTATGACCACTGATGTTTTATACACTAGCTGGATTATAGCTTCCCCACATGAAAGTCCCTGGAGGATTTTAAACTGTGTGGTTCAAGTATTAAACATGTAAAAATAAATCATATCAAAACAAATCACATCATGTCATGTCTGTGGATGTGTTGGAAATTCACTTTGTTAACCATATTGTGAACCTTTCCATAAATTTCAGGAATTTCTGGTGCCAAATCAAAGAACGCTCCATTTCAAAATGGATGAAAAGGAAGAATACAAAGAAACCACACATCCTCCTCAAAATAATTAAAACTTATATAAATCACTGACATACTGTCATACTAGAACTTATCTGGTATTTCAACACAATTTAATGATATATATGAGACTTCTTACCTGTAGTTTTTGTTGATTGAACATTAAGGTGAATATTAGGGTCGTTTTCTAGATTAAACTCTTCATTACACCCTCCTACAAGAGGATCTGGAAAGAACAAAATATTAGCAACTTGTTAACAATTTCACATAATGTGTAAATTTGCACACTAAGCAAATAAAAACAGCTTTCAATACAGGTAACTTTGGCTTTTTTTTGTCTTAAACTTGTTGATTTTGTATACAAGTATACTAAAACTTATTCTTTAAGCATCTTTAAATACACAAGAAGACATAAACAAGTTAGTAACATACTTCAACCAATATAATTACACACAATAGTATATAATTATTATGCTATTTATCTTAAATGCAGACATAAAATTCAAATTAAATTTAAATCTAAGGTCTCTATTAAAAACCAAATGATTTTTAAATGAACAAAGAAAATCTTAAAATGGTTATCAGCTATAAATGGTGAGATATACATGTAAGCAAATTATCTTTGTAGGACTTTTTGTTTCAAACAAATAGTTAATGTATACATATCTACATTTTTGCACATTTTTAGTTGTACATCCAATCACAGAAATGTTTTGTGCATTGTATGGTATATTGTTACAACATGAACCCTTAACCGAAGACTTCAACTATTAATATAAATTTTGTGGATATCACGATAAACATTTTGAAGTTTAAGACAGCCTGATCAGACTGAAGGTATGTACAGGTTGGGCAATTTACTTTCAAGGAATTTAAATAACAGGTTAATATGAAAGACAACTTTACCTGTTACAGTGTAGTATGTCAAATGCACAAGGACTTGTATATCCACACTGGTATTGGAGTACAGGTACCATGTTATATTGGAATCATCAGCATACATTGAAACAACTCCAATATCTCGCCCTGTCACAGCTGTATCATACTTTATATCATGCTGTAATAACAAATGTACAATTAAACAACATGGGTCCACACAATAATACAAAAAGAGACCCTTGGCATTGTTAATTTTGACTCCAGCTTTAGACTTACCAGTAAGTAAACTAAATTGAAGTTCACAGGAAAATGCTAAACAAAATATCTTAGCTCTAGGGCTTGTTACTTTGAGGGAGGGACATTTTTAAAAGTTTTCCTATTATATGAGTCTATGCAAAATCAAACCATCATTGAAAGTGTGCATTTAGTTTTAAATTCACAAAGAAATCAAAAACATTGAAGTCTTGACAAAAGAAAACAAGTTATGCTAGCAATGACTGCCAAAATCTCATTCTTCTTTTTTCAAGATTAAAATAAGCTAACAATAATGAATAAAAATTTAAAATAAACCTTCAAATTAATGAAAATAGGTAAGTTCCCTATATATATATATGGTCTCCCTTTTGTAAAAAAAATCTTGTAAAATTTGGGTAAATGATATTCCCCATTACTTTATCAACTCCACTTGTACATGATAATTGCTAAAAGCATGAAACTGTACAGTAGTGCAATAAAAACAAGAAGTATTGATCCCATAATCATTTTTTTATATTCAAATATCCATATTTATTCAAATAACAAGAATTAACAAGAGGGCCATGATGGCCCTGAAGTCGCTCACCTGTATATAGGCCCCCTGGAGCGGGGCCAGTTTAAACCCCAGGGCTTTTATTTGAACAAACTTGGTAGACACCCATTAGAAGATGTTTCATGCTAAACATCTAAGGTCTAGCTTGTTGGGTTTTTTAAAGAAGATTTTTTAAGTTTTTTCTTTACACATATATTTAAAAACAATGACACCCCTGGGGCAGGGCCAGTTTTTGGCTTTTATTTGAACAATCTTTGTAAACACTTCCTGGAAGATGTTTCATGCTTAAAATCTAAACTCTAGCTATTCGGGTTTTTTCGAAGAAGATTTTTAAGTTTTTGCTATACACATATAAGGAAAATCAATGTCCCCCAGGGCGGGACCAATTTTGACCCAAGGGCTCTTATTTGAACAAACTTGGTAGACATCCATTAGAACATGTTTCATGCTAAATATCTTAGCTCTAGCTCTTTGGGTTCTTTAAAAGAAGATTTTTAAGTTTTTACTATATGCATATAGGAAAAATCAATGACCCCCTGGGGCGGGGCCAATTTTGACCGCAGGGCTTTTATTTGAACAAACTTGGTAGACACCCATTAGAAGATGTTTCATCTTAAATATCATAGCTCTAGCTCTTGGTTCTTTAAAAGAAGATTTTTTAATTTTTACTATATACATATAGGAAAAATCAATGACCCCCTGGGGTGGGGCCAATTTTGACCCCAGGGCTTTTATTTGAACAAACTTGGTAGACACTCACTAGAAGATGTACCATGCCAAATATCTAAGCTCTACCTCTTTGGGTTATTTAGAAGAAGATAATTAAAGTTTTTTCTTTTGGTTGCCATGGCAACCAGAGTTCTACATGGAATTAAATTCTTTGAACAATTTTCAAAGGTGACCACCAAAGGAACATTCCTGTGAAGTTTGGTTGAAATTGGCTTAGTGGTTTATGAGGAGATGTCATTTAAAGTAAAAGTTTACGGACGCCGGACGGAGCCGGACGGCCGGACGCCGGACGAAAAGCGATCACAAAAGCTCACCCTGTAACAAAGTGACAGGTGAGCTAAAAACTATAATAACAATAGTATTCCTATGACTAGCCAAATTCCTGTGTTGTAATTCACCGACACTTTGGTTGTGGAGCTAAAATTGCCTTTAAAATCCCAATAAAATGTATATTTGTCAATCCCAGCACATGTACTCATCATATATATTAAAAAAACTTGATATAAGCCTTTCTGAAAAAATTTCATATTTCAACGTCTAAAATAATGTTTATTATTAAACTATATATACTTATACATTTGTACTATACTTATAGTACTTAAAGGGACCGTATTCTGCGCCATCCCAGATTTGTCTATCTCACTCTCTGTAAAAACTAAGGTATCAAATAAAACAGAATTTGTTTCACAAATAATGTCACTTACTGATTTGAGCTCATTCTGGTCCGCTATTGGGCCACTAGACAGGCCTCTTCTAAACGCCTTACTCAATGCAACATATTCATGATCACTACTACTCCCTTTTTTCTGTTTAGTCCTGTTTTTATTTTTATTTGCACTCATTATCCATTAAGTTCGAAACATATTTAACAAATTCCAAACAAAATTTTGCCAGTATAGTGAATATATTACAAAACATATACAAAATATCCCAGAGCTCAAACATGTGCGTCTTCAGTAAAAGTCATGTGACCAATCGCTCAAAATTAAAATTAATAAAATTAAATTTCATTTAAATAAAACAAACCTTCATAGACAATGTTATATTTCCAATTTGAGTGTGAGCCTGGCAAAGTATGTAAGCTGTGTCATGTGACAGACCTACTGGGTTTATAATAATGCTGCCATTCCCTGGTAACTTTACTATCCTTGCATCTCTTTGGGGTAGAGAAATATTTTTGGCTTCTGAAAATAAACATTCATTTTTTAAGATATCTTGTTATCTACTGCCAAGGTATATATATGATGATGCCAAAAACTGTCAACATATTTTGTAATAGAATATTATTTCTTATTAGTACAAAAATTAAAAACCTACTTGAAACAAAAAGAGGTTTAACTGTATAACTTCATTAAGTTAGCTCTTTTTATGTTTTCCTGACATGCAAAAACAGCAAAAGGTTTATTGGATTTGATTAATAGATACTTATAGAAAATGAAGTGTAATATTATTATTATTATTCATACAGTCACTGCCTTATTCATACAGTCAGTCAAAAGCCTTTTTCTTGCCTGCCTCGACTACATGTTACATGTATTTAAAAGGGACCTATAAATTCAAATAAAACAATTAACACTTTATATAATAAAGACCTATTATATCTGTCCACATATTTTCATGGTCATTTACTGTTTGTGGGCACCACCTCTTTATAAAAGAAGTGTTGAACACAAACACAAAATATATAAGTACAAGTAAGACAAAACAAATCAAATTGTCTTACTTGTACTGAATGAATTTGAAAAAAAACATTTAAGAATAAGACAGACATATTCTTTTTTTTCTATAAAAACACATAAAAATGTAGAAATCTGATGCAAGCATTGTTGGTTTTTTTTAATTGTCTCAAATGTTAGATTGGAAATATGTCATCACATTAATTTTTTTACAAAATTATTATTGTGGCTTTTATAAATCTATGAGAAAAATTTAATGGACAAGTTGAAAATTTGATGACTTATTATTGCTTTTTCAAAATGAAAGGTAAATAAACAAGGAAGTTGGAATGAAAGGGAATCATACTTAAATGCAACTGTTACCAGGGCTACAGATAACATTTTGTGTATATTGGGTAATTACCCCTTATTTTGTGATCTATTGGGTTTTTTCCTATTTTCTTTGAGTTATTTCTGTATTTTTTACCCTACCCCTCTAACCAATTTGGGTTATAAAGTGCAAGTTCATGCATTTTACCCAAAATTTTTGACCTTCATTGTAGACATTTGTAGGTTTTGTACGGTAATAAAAAAGCTACTTACTACTTTGATTTATGGTTTATTGGCCTAGGAGATTTCCAAGTTGCCTTATATAATTTAAAGGTTAAAACAGTCTGAAACAGTATGATCTGCCTGATGTACGCGTTAAGTAATAATTTTCGTCATTACGCACCAGTTCAAATGTAGTTTGTATAAATAAGAATTCATTTACTTTTTCTTACCCTTAGTTATTATTTCTATTGGGTTTTTAGACCTTTTAATTGGGTAATAACGCAAATACGCATGTTATCTGCAGCCCTGTGTTACTGAAATTATCCATTATTTTAGTTTGATATCATCGTTGAAATACTTCTAGAAATAATACTATGATTTGATTCACCGGCTGTTGTTCCCAGTGAGGTTTAATTGAATAAATGATCAGAACGGCAACTATAAAATGCTGCAAACCACTGCCTGCCCAGGGGCTCACAGTTTTAAAAATTCTTGCTGACATACATGTGAACTTTTTTCGATGCTCAAGTGGGAGATTTTTCTTCAGAAAGAGGGAGATTTTAGAATTTTCAATAAACAAAGAAGGAAGTTCTGACATCAAAAATAGGGAGATTTCTTTAATTTGTGAAAATACCCCTTATTTTAAGAAAAATCTTTGAAAATATGACTGCAAAAAGAGGGAGTCTCCCGCTAAAAGTGGGAGAGTTCACATGTATGTGCTGAACTATTACCAAGGCGGCATTATTGAAGTAATAATTTTATCAATAATTATCAATAACTAAATAATTCACTTTAGTTTACAAAGAATTCTTAGAATATATATACATCATCTGATTGGTTAATTATCTCCTGGGCACGTGTTAATTAACTCTTTCCCACGACTTAGTAACTTGTGGCCATGGCATGACATAGTATCTCTTACGCACCACTTAATTATCTCATGGCCAGGACTTAGTAAATCATGGTCACAACATAGTATCTAATGCACACAACTTAATTATCTTGTTTCCACGACTTAGTAACTTGTGGCCATGACATAATATCTCGTGCGCTCAATTTAATTATCTCATGGCCATGACTTAGTTACTCGTGGCACGACACAGTATCATGTGCGCACCACTAAATTATCCCGTGGTCAAGACTATGTAACTCGTGGCCACTTCTTAGTAACTCGTGGACAGGACTTAGTAACTTGTGGCCACAAAATAGTATCTGGTGCGCACGAGATTTATAAATAAAAAAAAGCACAAATGTCACCTATGTGCCACCGTAGTAAAAAGGAACCCATTTTGTAGACTTTTTCTACTTACATATTATTTTAAAATAAAGTTAAAAGTTTAAATGACCAATCAAACAGCTCAAATTACACAGGGTGACAGGCTATGCATGCAGGAAGTAGCAGTCCTATTTATTGCCTAATTGGACTACAGGAAGTAGGACAATGTTTGTTTACTTACATTTAATAAAACTACAAAAATGACTGCAGAACTACACAGCAATGTACTTGTTATATATTACAACTTTTGTTGTTCAAACTTATAAACTTACTTCATTAATGTATCAAGTCAAATCACACGAAAAAAATCTAAACACAGTATGAAACACAGAATAATGAAATGTTATTCACTTTACCTCCATATAAATAACTCAACAAAAGGAAAACTATTTTTGGGCTAAATTTCAATGTCATCATGTAAATAACACAAAAGGAAAGTTTTTTTTATTTTTTTCTATATTGAATGTTCATGGGGGCTGCCATTTTATTATGTGTCGTCATCAAATTTGATGTAAAGTAGACTGGTTATATTTTCTAATTTCGCGCTCTGCTTTTTGAAGTCGGTATCCGTAGAACCAGACTATTTAAATACGTACTACACAACACGTGTGCGCGGTGTGAACATAAAAGAATGGCAGAACACATGGAGGTAGAAAAAGTATTATTTAAACTATATATTTCATTATTTTAGTCAATCAACTTGTTCTGTATGTTGACTTTATTTATGTTTGAGCTAATATCATTACTGATAATGTCGTTACACGTTCGTAAGATGCAACTTTTATCTTTCATTTTCCCGCTTGCATGATTTTTTTTCAGCACAATGAAATAATTTTATAAACTTTCGACACTGTATATTTTTAAAGCACTTGCATTAAGTTGTGTTTGATTCAACATACTCTTTTACGATATCATTTTCATAATTAGATCTTTAGATTGCGTTTTGGATATCACATAACTAGTCAATGCCGTAGAATATCGTGTATTGATGAAATGATACTATAGCTTGGGCTGCTAAAATATGTACATGAAACAGCCTGGTTATATGGCCAGCTTGGAGTCAGACTTAAAAGCAGAGTTTTATTTTATCCAGACAGCAAATGAATTTGCTGTGGACGCGAGGTTTCAAATATTGTGCAATTACTATGATGCAAAAAGGTACAATGTAGTCTGATAGAAATTTGGTCAAAAATACCAAACTGTGTTCAAGTTATGTCAATCTAATCACAGTTTTTGCTGATATTTTATGTTGATCTTACTGTTCATAGAGAACTTTAACAAGTTTCGGCTTAGTGTATATAAACATTTAATTTCCATTGCTCTTATTTGGGACAAAGAAATGAAAAGTACCTTCTTATGCACTTAAGTAATGCATCAATTCATGTTGGTATCATTCTTTGTTGGGAATTCTTGCTTATAAATCACTGACATTGTATTGAAATGGGTGAAAAAAACTAGAAAATCTATTATCATTTGTAAATTCTTGTTCCTTTCTTTATTCCAAATGTGTCATTTTGCATTGTAATACAAGCATGCTAACTATAAGTTGATGCTTCAAGCTTGTCTACTGTTATGCATCATTCATTTCAATTTATGTTAGACCGAGAGTAATTCAACTTTTTAAATGTTATCTGTTGTTTATATATACATATGATGTGCAAAGTAGATAAGCATAAATCAGTCTTTGAATGGATCTTTTCAAAATGTCTGATATTTTAACAAATGTAAATTGGATCTTTTCACAATCATCTTGGAAATATCAAAATTTAATACTGATGCCTTAAGAAATGTAAATTTTTGAAACAGTAAAAGTATTTTTCTTATCAGCAGGTAACAACAAATGGTCCCAGCAGCACCACAAATGGTGAGACTGCACACCCAGAGACGAAGGCTGGCGACGGGGAAGAAATGACCTCAAAAGATTATTACTTCGACTCATATGCACATTTTGGCATTCATGAGGTATAATAAGTGTTCAGTTTGTTTACTTTTTAAAGTGTTTACTATCATTGACATTCATTATCATAGGTTATTTGCTCAGAATTTGAATTATGTGATATTGTCATTATGTAGTCATTTCCTGGAAATAATCATATTATAAATGTTTCTTAATATATTTTTGATTATAAAATAGCTAGAAAGATAGAGGCAGGTCAGCAATCTGCATGTACATCCATCCTTGCAGCTCAACCAGACTATGCTATTGTCTACATTGCTCAATTTTGATAATTTAATATATAAGTAATAATGAAAAATAATCAGTTTTAACCTTATGAATTGTAGCAGCTAATGCAACCAGTTTACAGCCAGGAAGTCTGCACATCTGTCTAAAAAGATAGTAACATTTCTATTAAATCTACAAGTAAAAGATGCACAACTATTGAATGGGTAGTTCTCTAAGACTATTATTCATATGCAGGGTAGGAAGGTTTGAACATGATTTTACTTTCCGTAAATCTAATATGTATGTGTTTCTGTTATACAGGAAATGTTGAAGGATGAAGTTCGTACCTTAACATACAGAAACTCCATATACCACAACAAACATTTATTCAAAGGAAAAGTTGTTCTGGATGTTGGTTGTGGTACAGGTATTCTTTGTATGTTTGCTGCTAAAGCTGGAGCTGCCAAAGTTATTGGGGTGAGAACTTTTGAACTTTCTTTTTATAAAGTATACTTATTAAGTGGTAGAAGTTGGCCATTTTCTGCCTTTTTGTGGAAAAATAATTTAGGTCATATGGCGCTGAAACATGAAAGATGATTTTTGGCTAACCTAGGGTGTTACAAACTTAAACAACCTCATCTGCTAGAGGTAGGAAATGCTTAGACGCCAGTTATTCAAACCCATTTATTTGCCTCTTATGATTATGCAGGGATAAACAGTGACTGTAATTCTGATGCCTAAACACTTAAAGGCAATCCCTCGGCGACAAGAGGGTTTTGAGGATAAAAAGAAATGGAATTGAGTCTATGGTCATTGCTATATCACAATTTGTGAATTACTTTTTAAATAAAATAAAAGGAGTAGTCAAAGCAGTTTACCGATGTTATGTAATAATGTCTGTATGCTTGGTTGTGAGAAGAAATGGTTTAAAATTGTAAATAAGAAAGCAAAAGAAAATGAGAGTCATGCTTTTAGTAATTTTCAATTTTCTTTGTAAATGATAGAACTTTAAAGTGACATTATGCTCTTTTTTTTCGCTTTCACTTTAAGTTGAAATAGAATTATTATTTCAAAAGAGTGTCTATTATTATTATAACAAGACTGCCCCACCCTTTTAAGAATTGAACATTACTGATCAGGGCTCATCCGGAAGGGCGATTCAGGCGATAACTTCGCCGTGTATATTCCAATTTCGCTCTCCCGATTGATCAAAGAGAAGTCAACATCGCCGATAAAATCTTAATTCCCAAATAGTAATTACTTAGCGATGTAAAGAGCAGAGATTGTATCCGCCCATATGACGACCGCTAATTATCATTATCCAATCAGAGCGTCGCTTTATACTACCCTTCTACCTGTAAGCAAAGCGATAGACCGCCTACTCTAAACAGTAAATAATGAGAGCATCGGCTCGAAACGGTATAATTGCGTGATAGTTTTGCGAGTTTAATACGGGATTTGGCGATAATTATAGATTGTTTTTTCCGATTATCTAAACACTTGCAATCTTCCCTAATTGATATACACGATGCACTTCGATGGTGGGTTTTTAACCCGAGTAAAGGCGATGTGCAATGGATTTTTCACGGCTATCACAAAACTGTTAGTCAATTAAAAATAATCAATTTCATTAATGTTCAGCGACAGGATTAAAAACTTAATAATAGTTTTGAATGATTTCAGTCTGTTAACATCAATTTTTACTGTAAAATTGTTATGTCGCTCACGTCATGGCTACAAGGCGAAATGCCGAAACCGAGCAACTTAAGAAAGTTACTGATTCTGAATGATAGTTACACCTACGCGAAAATTTAAGAAAGCCAATTCGCAAAAATCTTGCGATTGGTATGTTGTAGCGGTGGGGATGTTTGGCATTGTTCTCTTTGTAGAAATGCTAAATTTGACACAGTTTACGCACGTGGGCACGACATCCCGGCGAAACTACATATCGCGAAACTACATATCGGTCGTATATCATGTAACGTATATCATGTAACGTATATAACAACAAAATTTGTCAGGAAAGAAGTGTTCTTTTTGTTTCAATATATATATTTGTTTTAATGTCGTAAATATGACGCTCAGATTAAGATTTATCAGTATTGTAAATTTTAAAAAGCATTATTTATAAAGATATTACCGAATTTAACATTTCATGAAAATAAAGGGAGGTAATTAGAAATTAATTTTCTACAATTTCTCAGTCAAATTTTTCAATAAGAAATGGATGTATGCAATTTTAGTAATCAAATATAATGTGCACAAATGTTTGCAGTACATATTTTACATATTATTTGATGTTTGAAAATTGTTTTATAAGCATAATTATATGCATACAGGGATCATTCTGGTCAGGATTTTTAGTGAGAGATTTTCTCTCATTTGAGAAATTTTAATGAGAGAAATTAGATTTTCTTGAGAGATTTAATTTTCATGATGGGCGAGGTTAAAAATATAGAAATTTCTAACTTTTTAAAATCACTGTACATAATAAACATTGTTTATCTAATGAGGATATAAGAAGATGTAGCTCTGTTTATTACAGTGATTTTTGTTTTCACTTTTTTAACACATCCTATGCCTTTTTTTGTGAATTTTTAAACATAATAAAATTCTAGTTGTGAAAAATAAATATAACACTTTTATTCTGAAATATAAAAGAATTATACATGGTTATCTACTACAACTATTATTTGCAGCCAATGTTCCTAATGGACAACACTGTACTGTACAGAAGTGATTGTTGAGATTTGAAGAATATTTTTTATAACCTTACATTTTGTTTTCTTTATGATTCTCTTCACACACCTCCCTCCATTAAAAAAATATTCATTGAATATGTGACCTGAACACATAATGACAAATATCTCCATATCCACAAATATAAACAATGTATACCTAAAGTTATTTTTATTCATAAACATCATTTTTAGTGTTATAAAACACCTTTAAATAACACTCAGCTTCCTTTCAGTATTTTTTTTTAATCACGACATCGCGAAAATATGTGACAAATGAATATGTGTCTGTTTTCTGCTGAAACATTCACAATTCTAGCTGTTGCTGATTGCAATAATATAAAATTAAATATTTTTGTTCAATAAAAGAATATTTATTATCGGCTATTTCATCAGGAATCGTAAAACAAATTTTTTTAATTTGTTCTTTACGGCAAAATTTACCGTGGTTGATGTTACATTTAGAAGACAAATTTTACCGGTATTTGTTTTTTACATTGTCATTTTTATGTTAGTCTGTGTCTAACAATTTTTATTAAAATCAATTAAAAGTGTTTTATGTAAATTCTCGACTTACAGATAGATAAAGGTTAGCCATCATACCGTACGGTGAGTTTGCGGTCTCCGATCGGCAATTATTAGGCTAAATAATTCAAAGTGTTGGACTACTTTTTGGAGTTTTTTTTACACCGATTTGATTAATAAACAATTTGAAATTAAATTCTTGATGGGAATCGTGAATTTTTCATCATATTTTTGTGTAACTTTAGCATTCTTTTGATTGTGATTAGACATTTTCCGGCTCAAATTGCCGTGCGAGATTTTCTCTCATTTCACAAATTTCTCTGAGATTTTGGTGATTTTTTTGCGAGATATCGCGGAAATCGCGCCCTAGAATGATCCCTGGCATATAAATTTGACATTACAACATTCAGGAATCTGAAAGAAATTTCTGTCACCAGAACAGAATACTCATAGAACAGATATTATTAATCAATATCCAATGTGACCTCAGTGAGGAAAGTGAAAAATATAAAATTGATTTTATCATCATATCTTTTTCTTACACATTATTATCAACAAATCTACATGAAAATATAAAAACACATATTTAGAGAAAGCTTATAAATAGCTGATAAATAGATATCAAAAATAATTATTTTTATTCATATTTGCAGCTCAAAAACATTTAGATGCCATTGCCAGATCTACTATTTATTAATCTACTATTAATTAATACTACTATTAATTAATCTACTATTAATTAATAAACTTGAGAAATATTATATGTGATGTTAATTGTGTTTATATTATAATTAAAGGATGTATAGCCATGCATGTTAATGCATACACATTGGGTTGTTTCCATTCTCCCTAATTTTCGCGTGGAAGTCACTTCTCCCTAAAATTTCCCCCCAGGATGAGCCCTGCTGATAAATTCTGAACCATATTTATAGACATTTCTATTGGTCACTAGGATTATATTGATTATCTTTCCATAGTAAAATATATAATTGAACACAATTATAGCAAAATGTCATGTTATTTTTATTTTTACTCGTTGACTGACCATTTACACTAGGATGGGCACTTTAATATCATGTTTGTAATTGTTTATGTTTCACAATTTCAGATAGAATGTTCTGGTATTATAGATCATGCTAAGAATATTATAGAAGCAAACAAGCTGGATAAAAGTAAGTAAACTCATGGCCCCATGTTCCCAAAGAAAAGATCTGGATTAAATAATCTGGATTTGAGAATAAGCAAGTTTTGAATCTTGATCGTGATACTTATTTATTGAACACAGGGCCTGTCAGTTATTGTTAGGAAATTTTTATTTTAAGTATTAAAGTAAAATTTGAGGTACTTCTTATTACATGTAATGGCATTTTTAATCAAAATTTCATTCATATTGTCAAATGTCATCTGACATGATCAGATGTTAAGACCACCAGGTCCTGGAGATGCCCCAGCCATATAATGGCTGGGGCATATAGTGTTAACCTGTTCCGTCATTCCATCATCATCAGTTTCCGTTCATTATCTTAGAAATGGTTGCACACATTCAACTCAAATTTGGCATATGGATATGTCATAAGAAAATACAGGTCATGTTCTAATTTGGTCATAGTTCAATGATTTTTGGCAGAGTTATGCCCCTTTTACTATGAAAATAATATGAAATGTTCAGTTTCCGTTCATTATCTCTCCAAAGGTATTACACATTCAACTCAAACTTGACATATGCCTTTGTCATGAGAAAATACAGGTCAAGTTCGAATTTGGTCATGGTTGGATGATTTTTGGCAGAGTTATGCCCCTTTTACTTTGAAAATAATACAAAATTTTCAGGTTCCATTCATTATCTCCCCAACAGTATTACACACTCAACTCAAATTTGACATATGGATATGTTAAAGAAATGCGCAGGCAAAGTTCAAATTTGGTCATGGTTCAATGATTTTTTTGCAGAGTAATGCCCCTTTTACTTTGAAAATAATATGAAATTTTCAGTTTCTGTTCATTATCTCCACAACAGTGTTACATATTCAACTCAAATTATACTTATGGATATGTCAAAGGAATGCTCAGGTCAAGTTTGAATTTGGTCATGGTTTGATGATTTTTGGCAGAGTTATGTCCCTTTCACTTTGAAAATAATATGAAATTTTCAGTTTCCGTTCATTATGTCCTCTATGGTATTACACATTCTACTAAAATTAGACATATGGGTACATCAAAGAAATACGCAGGTCAAGCTAAAATTTTGTCATGGTTCGATGATTTTTGGCAAAAAAGGAAATTTTCAGTTCCATTTCATTATCTTCATAACAGTTGTACATATTCAACTCAAATTAAAGATATGGATATGTCATAAGAATGCATTGGTCAATTTCCAATTTGGTCATGGTTTGATGTTAGCTGACAGAGTTATCCCTCTTTAACTTTGAAAAAAAATCAGAAATTTTAAGTTTCAGTTAATTATCTCCCCAATGGTTGTACACCGTAATTCAACTCAAATTTGACATATAGATACATCTTAGGAATAAGCAGTTCAAGTTTGAATTTGGTCGTGGTTCAATGATTTTGGACAAAGTTATTTTCCTTGAATGTTGGAAAAATTTTGATTTTCAGTTTCAGCACTCATACTTTTGTGGAAATGTATGTAGCCATTAATTTGGCTACAAATATATGCAATATGCAATTTACAAAAGGTTAACACTGATTTCAGTGCCTTGAACTTTGTTTAAAAATGGTTTGTGTTAACATTAAATAGTTTTAAGGGCTTTGATCTTAAAATGAAAAAAATAATTTGTGCAAACAAATTTGGAACTAAATATTATAACATCTGAAATTTTGGCTGCATGCGGGGGCATCCGTGGAGTGACAACACATTTCTAGATAAATATATGTCACTGTTATTGGAGGGAAAATTCTCCAAGATGAATATGGAAGGCTCAAAAATCTGTAATATTTAGATCAACACTTCAGTAAATTATATTTGTTGCAGACTTTAAGACAGGTCCCTTGTGACTGTGACTCCTTGATAGGTGAGGGACTTTGTATTCTTTGATATGAGGAAACTATTTTGGGGGCTTAGCAGTTTTACTCTTGATTCCCTCTTATGCCACAAATAATGCATGAAGGGGGCCCGCAGCTCTTTATGAACCAGTTAAATTTTTACAGTGTTTGTGTAACCTAAAAAAAAACCAAAGAGGATAATTATATAATTTCTTTTGACAGATATTTACCTTGTGAAGGGTAAAGTAGAAGAGGTAGAGTTACCAGAAGGCATTGAGAAAGTAGACATTATCATCAGTGAATGGATGGGATACTGTTTATTTTATGAATCTATGTTACAGACTGTTCTCTTTGCTAGAGACAAGTGGCTGGTAAGATTTGATGTTACTTGAAATGTTACCAACAACTAGCTTTTTTTAACACCCATGCATAAAAATGAATATTAAGTTAAATGATCTGTCACTACTCACTCATGTCGCAACATGAAGTCATCAAAAAGCTTTATTGCTGAAATTTTTATATTGAACCCAAAGTTACTTCCTGGAGGTTAATAGAGCTAGCAGATTTACAACTTCACTTTTGGATTTGGTTGAAATGGTTTCATAGGGGCATCTGGAGTTGTACCTTCACCAGTAGAACCTGATTATCAGGGCTTTACTGAATGCTGAATCAATATACCCCTAATAGTTTCTCAAGCTGTTACATCCAAGTTAATGCACAGAAAGTATAATGCTGACTATAAATAAATCTTGATTAACGCCATAAAAAGTTCAAAGACCTTGCTGGGTGTAATATATAAGATATAATAAGTAGACATTTGTGTTGGACTTCTGAAATTATATAATATATATGTCGTTGAATGAGACTTGTATACATTTAAATTACAAGATACTGGTAGAATGGTATGGATTTCATTAGACGATTTTTGCAAGTGTTATAAGTGAATATTACATAAAATAATGTGTATTTTTAGGCACCAAATGGTATGATATTCCCAGACAGAGCTACACTCTACGTTACTGCGATAGAAGATAGACAGTATAAAGACGAGAAAATCAACTGTAAGTTTTTAACTCTTAATCAAGTTAATTGCTAGAATGGACATGTCCAGTTTAAATTTTAGAATTGTTCCATAATCAATTTAGGGATGTCAAGATAAAAAAATGAAGTTGAGAAATAAACAGTATAGAGCCAGGTTGGATTGCATGAATGTGCAGACTTGCAAGGTTCTATATTGTTTGCATAAGCTAATCACTTCCTCTTCCAAGAGGGTAAGAGTTACTCTGTATTCTTTCAGCTTTCTTTGTGACTCTGTGTATAAATTTTTTAGTCAAGTACACCGTATATTTAGAAAGAAATTTAATTGATCTTTACAAAGGTGAAAGTTAATTGATTAAGCAAGACTTACCTATATGTTGAAGGTTGATCATAATTTCATCCAGAATAAATCTCCCTTAGGGCTGAAAAACTATTGCATGCATATTCACTTCATGAAAAAAAGAAACAAGTCTGGAAATAAACAGTTATAATGACATTGCATATAGTGATTGCAGATATGCAAGCTGGTCTTTCTCTATACTTGTTGTACAAACAGGCAGATCATTATCACTGCTTGTATACACACAGTTCATGTATCAGTTTGTAATAATTTTCAGGGTGGGATAATGTATATGGATTTGACATGAGTACCATTAGGAAAGTTGCAATATCTGAGCCATTAGTGGATGTAGTAGATCCTAAACAGGTTGTTACTAACTCCTGTCTTATCAAGGTATGTATTTGTTTTCTATCTCATAATTTCTATTTTATATTGTAGCTACTTTCCTTAGCTCTTGGAGAAGTTTTTTAACTGTAAATGTGCTGTGTAAAGTGAGAATGAAAGTGCGAAGTAAACAATTTTCCTGATTAAAAGTGTATGGCTTAAAATATCATAATTTCATACTAGGATTGACTTTTGTTTAAATGTGAACGAAATATCAATTTATGTAACTTGAAAATGTGGGAATGTCTGCATGTACATAAATGTTTTTAAAAAGCTTACTTTTTAGAGAAATAAGTACTGAATAACTATAACTAAAGTCTTAAATATCTTGTTCCACTTGATGCATATGGCTTAGCTTTGAGGTTTGTTTGGTTAAGTGCCTAATTTGAACTGATTTCCACATTATGATATTGTATCCAACTTAAGGCTGTTTAATTACGCAATAATATTGTTTTGTTTCAGGAGGTAGATATATACACGGTACAAGAGAAGGATCTCCATTTTACCGCACCTTTCCATTTGTCATGTCGGAGAAATGACTATGTTCATGCACTGGTTACCTTCTTCAACATGGAGTTCACCAAATGTCACAAGAGAACTGGTTTCTCTACAGGTATTTACAAGTGTATTGTTTCACCTTTTATCGGTCAAATTTCTTATTGGGCTTGTCCAGTTCCTTGTTTGCTTGTCCATGATCAATTTTTGGGATGTTGAAATGAAAATTTGATGGAAATGAAAATTTGATGTTGATTAGGTGAGAATAGGTAATCACTTGTTGCCAGCAGGGTAGGGGTTAAAATGGTTTTATATCCACATTCTTTGTATTGAAGCTCTTGGTAATTTTGGGGTAAAGATTTGATAAACATTATTTTAACCAATAAATAGTGTATATTAAATGAGAGTAGATTCAATATTGAATCTATTGAATGAGTTGTATTTTAACCAATGATATTGTATATTAGCATTGAAATGGCATATTTTGATGTTAGAAAATTTCTTTAACTTTAGCTCAAGTAAGCTATTGCCATAGGTCAGTCAATTCTTTGTTCTTCAGCAACAGTTAACAGGGCAGTTTTGATTGGATCTTCATCAAACTTTGTCAGAATGATTGTCTAAATAATATCTCAGATGAGTTAGAAGATTAGCCATCTTGGGTCAAAAAATATGTCTCCAGGTCAAATCAAGAAAAAGTTGTTTTCAAATTTTATAAGAATGAATATATGTTCATATAAACCCAAGCAATTAGACTCAGTTTAGTGAATTTTGGCCATCGTGGGCCTCTTGTTTTTGAATCAAAATTGTATTAGATTAAATATCTGAGTCTAATTTTGATATGTATTGCAGCCCCAGAAGCCCCCTATACCCATTGGAAACAGACTGTGTTTTACTTTAATGAGACTGACTTAACAGTAAAGAGAGGAGAGGAAATCACTGGTACAGTCACAATGCAACCAAACAAGAAAAATAACGTAAGTTATCTAGTCTTTTATTTTTGACTGCTTTATTTGGGAGAGGTTAGTAAGAGCCTCCTCCACAATCAAGTTGTTAAGATAGCCAAGTTATAATCACTTATTCCTCACTAATGTGTGGTCAAAATCTCACAGTGACTTTAAAATTTTTAATGCAAAAGAAGTCGGATTATTAGAGTTTGCTTGTTCTACTCACATGCTTGCTTATGCATGAAGTAGTGAACAAAGTGATACCTGATGTATAATTACTTAAATAATTTTAAGATGGAAAATTGCCGTTTGACCATAATACTGGTGTTATTATAAATTTCTAATTAAAAGTAAGTATACATCTGTTAAATTTGAGTAAAATAATTAAAAAGATGTAAACTCAGTATCTAAATAGATAACACAACCCTTAAATGATTGTTTTTTGGTGTAAAAAGTGTCTCAGAGACTAATGTAATATCATGCTTAAATGATACCTGTACATGAGTTATTATAAAGGACCAATTTAAACATCACAAGTGTTTGACATATGATGTTTATTATTATTTAGGACTATTTCTCTTGAAAGTTACTTCGTATCTACCATACCCAATTACCAAGTTTAATACTGCTATGGCATTGTCATTTATGTACATGTTTCTGCTCAATGAAGAAAATTTTTATGAAACACTGCCTTTAAATTGAGAATTTTGTTCCTTACAGAGAGATCTGGACTTTGAAATTGACGTTGAATTTGAGGGGGAGTTGTCATCTATGAAAGAGACTTTAAAATACAAAATGCGCTAGTATCATCATATAGCACCACCTGTTGCCATGGAAACAAAATTAGTGGAGTACACATGATGTACTACGGCCTGACTGTGATATATAATCACCCGGATTGATGTATCGTACCTCGAACCAGTCCTACCGAAGAGGCCTCCAGAAGGGGAAATTTGGACCCTTTATGAAATAGACTAGATAAAAAAAAATTATATAATCATTACATGTTGAATAGTATGTTATTGCATGCTACATTTGTGTCCTCAATAGTGTGCTTCTATACTGTTTTTAAAATGTAATCAAATGCTAAGGATGTTTTTAAAAATCTTTATTGTGATAAAGAGTTTGAAGAACATTCTCATTATAAAAAAATCATGAGAAAAAAATGTTATTCTAAGTAATAATTATTGGAAGTATTTTGAAGTGTACTAAGACTTAAAGTGGGATAGAGAAAGTTTTTATTGAGAATTATAGTTAATTGAATTATATTTTTGAATTTCAAATTGCTGGGAGTAAGGTTATCAATGTTGCTGAACTGTTATGAATAATGTTTTAGCCCTACATTTTATATCAACATGTAAATTGTAATTTAGATCAGAATTGAGATTGTAGTTTTGAAATGTTGAAAGTTTATATGTGTACTTTGATAATCTGATGTAGACTTTAAAGTTATTTTATATAATTAGAAAAAAAATTACTTTGGATAAATCATTATGAAATTTACTTGCATTTGTCCATTAAACATTATGACTTGTTTAGAAAAAAATATTGTTGTAATGTATGAAAGATTTATTTTAATTCTTGTTTACTTTATTAGCAAATTACAATGAAAGTTATCAAGTTGAGAAGATTTACAAATCATTATTGAACATAATAGTAATGTAACTAATTGATAGTGAAAAAATAAAGAGGCATTCATATGTTTAACTGCTAAATAACTTGTACAGGTAATGTTTTATGTTGTTAATGTATTTTTGTTTATTAATGGACACATAGGACTTAAATCTAGACACAATAGAATGTATTCTTTTATGTTAATGCCTCTGAAAGCTTCATTTTCAATGTGTTGAATTTTCGGACCAAATGAATTGTGTTTCATGAATATACATGACATGAATAGACTGATAATAAGAAGCATTAAAGAAGCATTTATAAAGTCCCAACTTGTCAATACAAGTTGGCGAGTATGTAAGAACACAAACCAGCCAGAAGTGAATGTAAAACAATTACAGAAAATGGCTGTTGTAATATAATGCAAGGGATTTTACCCAGCACTTTTCATGATGAAAATCTTGAATTAGACAATTTTTAATGGCTTTGGACTCAGCCAATTGTCACGAATGTCTTGCTACAGTATTAGAAAAAGAAGTTGCATTCTTAAAGCTTTTTGATGCTTTTTTGTCATGTTGGATTCAAATCATTGTACTTTCATTTCATTTTCATAAGTGGCTATATAATGTTTTGCAATGATATTATTTGACCCTGTGCTAGTACCTTGAAACTTGCATAGGTGCACTCTAGTAGTCATGTCTGAAGCTGAATGTACTTTATGCTGTACATAAGAAATTTGAAATAGACAAAGAAAGAAATTACTGTTGTCATGACATGAAAATATTTTAAAAAATTTGGATAAGCTTATTCTTAACCATTTTTTCGTATGTTTATTTCTGGGCAGGGATGCCTGATATGAATTACACTGCTGTTCTAAAGTTGTTTCAACTAACTTTGGTTAGTTGACAAATATTTTATCTTAATAAATTTGAGAACTTTGAGAGGTTCTTTCTAATATTTTTTTTGGACAAATTTTTCGTATCCACTTTTCTAGATTTTTAGTCTTTCATGCATTGTTTCATGTTTTTAATCACCCCATTGTCACTTATTAATTGTACATTTTGTAATTGTTTGCTTTTGTAGGTCAGCTGAAATGACCTTTCAATAAAAATCATGTGCAACAAAAAGACAGCTTGTTGTTCTTCTTGCCATCTATCTTAAATAATTGTGTCTTAGATTAGATTAAATCACTGCTTCAAGTAAAGGTCTAATGTGGAAAAAAACAAAAGAATGGTGCTTAGGTAATTTACGTATAAATGAAAAGGTTTTGATATTGATTTATTAGATAAGATCAAGAAATTAATTTGTTATAGTAGTTTTGAATTATACACACTTGTGTTTGAATCTTAGCAGGGAATTTGAATTCTGTTTTGTGAGAAAGTTGGTTTTATCAAAATGTAAGAATTAATGCTCTGTCAGTAGCAAAGATGGAAGTTTACACACAACCTGCTGAATGTGTGTAATTGGTAGATCCCTACTCTAACCTTTTACTTGTATAACACTTTATTTAACCACAAACATTGACATGTTCTTTCATTAATACATATTGTGTGGTGAAATTTTTATTGTAATCTGATAATTCAAATTGAGAAGATTAGGGATCTATGCATTTGTTTTGCCTTTCTTTAAATCTGATTCAGTCCATTGTAACTTGAAAATTACAGAGTTTCAATATCAAAGGGGAAAAATTGCCACCAAATATAGGGACTGGTCGGACTGCATAGAGGTGTAGGCTAGCCCAGCTTTATACTGGTGGCTAAGTCTTATCACACTCGGTTCCAGCATGTTAGGGTTGACACCAAGTTCAATATATATATAATTATATCAGTGGATAACATGTTGGACTAGTAATCTAATGATCACTAGGTGCATGAACTTAAAACCCTGTTGGGAGGGGGGGGCAAGTTTCCTTGAGCAAGAAACTACACTCGGTGATCAGTACTGGTCCGTTCCATGAATGGATTCGAAATTGTGTCTTTAAGCTTATAGCTTACTACACAACCCAGCTAAAATAAATTCTTTATAAACCAAATATATATGCATTAGCTTGAGATTTTTAGAGAATTGAACTTTATGTGTAATATGCATGATTTGTTTTTAAACAACAACAGTTCAAACATGCATAATTACATTGATACTTAAATGTAAGTATATAACAATGTAACCGGACAAAGCTGCTCATAAGTGTTTATTGGAAACACTTCATTGATGTAAATGGTATATCCTTCCTCTTGATTTTGAAGCAAGAAGTAAACAATAAACAAACCTGTTTTATATAAAAGTTTATTTGAAACTCCCATCAGTTCATAGTAATTTGAAAATCAAGGCATTTTTATACACAAGTACAAAAAGAGCCTGGCCAGATTTCACTGGTTATTGTGGATGATCAAAACGTGATGAAAAGCATTACTACTTCGTACAAATAAACATAACGAAAACACTTCAAGTTGCTGACATATAGAGGATATTTGTTTGTTTTGCATGTAATTTCACTGAGTGAACACCAGATGCAATATTTTCATGAGTGGCGTAGCCACGAGTGAAAATATAATAGCTGGTGTTCACGAATGAAATATATCTCAATCTTATATGTAAAACAAATAAATTTTCTTTTTATTTCATGCTTTTTAAGTGATTTTTACTGATTTTGCCGCGTAACGTCGCGCATTCTCCTTTGTGACGTCATCACATCATGACGTCACATCATCAATTTTGAAATATAGTTCTGTTAAATTTCTCTAATTTTGTTACACTTGTAACATGATGTATGGTGACATCCACTTTCTTTTCCTAAAAAAGCAAAATTTATGCATGACAGCATTTATTTCTGCCTGTTATTCTATTTAGTTATGATTTTCTTTTCATCCGCATTCAGATATAGTTCGGCTACAGTGAAAATTATATTTTATAAATTTCACTAGTGGTTTATCAGAATATAATCATCTGATATATTACAATAAAACACTGGAAAGCATGAAATAAAAGTGAATATACAATTAAGACTTCTGTTAACAAGTTTTATATTTTTGACATTGAATTTTTCATTTTCTTCTTTGTTCTTTAATGTGACTGATTTTAGATTTTTATACCTCCGCAGGGTTTCATATGATTTTTAATTGTCCATTTTTTGACAGGGCCATAACTTTGTATTTCAAGGATGGATTTTGAAATAATTTTGCAAAAATGTGGAGCACATTGAGACGAACGATTATTGACGGGCAAGGTCCAGTTTCATTATACATTTTGTACATGTAGTGCATTGGTAGTCAGGTCCAGTGGGGGGCGGGTCTTTTTGTCAATGAAGGGAAGTAACTCAATCGGTGTCTATGCTTCAGTGGGGCTCCCTTGAAATTGATTCAAACAACAGAAATATACTATTTCATATATCAACACTTATATTAAAGACACTAATACAAGTTAGAGACAGACTGGAAAGTGATAATAGTCCCTGAAGAATCTAGAACTGCCACTGTCATGGCCTGAATACCCCCGCATACCACTTTGTCAGAATCAACAGTGACCATTGAGAGCTCAAAGACAACCTCCCTGCAAAATCTGAGGTTACTAAGCCAGTGCATTGCTAAGTTATGTATTCTACATGCTTCAAATGTGAAAATCAATACACTGCGGACAGGCATTCTTAAGCATTTGAGCAGACAAGCTTATTATAGTAAAATTCCTGTGACCTTGACCTTTGACACAGTCACCTAAAAATCAAAAGGGGTCATCTATTGGTCATAATCGACCTCAATACCAAATATGAAGACTGTTGACCAAAGCCTTCTTAAGCAATTGAGTGGACAAGCTTTTTTAGTCAAGGCCCCTGTGACCTTGACCTTTGACCCAGTGACATCAAAATCAATAGGGGTCACCTAATGGTCATGATAAACCTCCATGCCAAATATGAAGACTGTGGTTCAAAGGATTCTTAAGTTATTGGGCGGACCAGCTTTTTGAAATCAAGGCCCCTGTGACCTTGACCTTTTACCTGGTGACCTCAAAATCAATAGGGGTCGTCTACTAATCGTGACTAACCTCCATGCCAAATATGAAGACTGTGGGTCAAAGGATTCTTAAGTTATTGGGCAGACAAGCTTTTTGAAGTCAAGGCCCCTGTGACCTTGGCCTTTGACCTGGTGACCTCAAAATCAAGAGGGGTCATCTACTAATCGTGACTAACATCCATGCCAAATATGAAGACTGTGGGTCAAAGGATTCTTAAGTTATTGGGAGGACGAGCTTTTTGAAGTCAAGGCCCCTTTGACCTTTACCCTGGTGACCTCAAAATCAATAGGGGTCATCTACTAATCGTGACTAACCTCCATGCCAAATATGAAGACTGTGGGTCAAAGGATTCTTAAATTATTGGGCAGACAAGCTTTTTGAAGTCAAGGCCCCTGTGATCTTGACCTCAAAATCAATAGGGGTCATCTGCTAATCATGACTAACCTCCATGCCAAATATGAAGACTGTGGGTCAAAGGATTCTTAAGTTATTGGGCAGACAAGAAAAAAAACGACAGACGGACAAGCTGATTCCAGTATACCCCCCTTACAACTTTGTTGTGTGGGGGTATAATAATGACCCAGCTGAAGCACGCACCATTATTTGTTTAGCCAGCTAGTCCTCCACTGTGTATGGGTGGGGGGAGTGGTGGTTTACGTCACACCAGCACTTTACAGGTCATATGGCAATTTTCAGCTTGAAAGTCGAAAAAGATCTTGGGTGCCCCCTCCGTGCATTATTTCAGACATTAAATGGCACCTTAGTAGAACCACCGATGTTCCGTAAACTAGCTGGATAGCTTCTACACCGGAAAAATCCAAATATCCTTCAGGATTGGAATCCACAGTGGTGAGTGGCAAGTGGTTTGAAGCCACTCAGACACGTTATAGGAGTTACAACCATTTCACATCAAACCCTCTATATGAAATATTGACATCCAGAAACGAAAATGAAAGACAACTCTTGGTCACATTTTACAGCATTTTTATTTTGCGAATGATGCAGTTTTATATCTAAGTATAGAAGAATTGCTGTAGCTACAAGCACAAGACATGAAAGTATTATATATAAAATGTATCGGAATTCTGCAATAATCAACCAGTCTCTCCATGATTATTTTCAACATTTAATTATCAAATAACTCATTACTCATCAGTATCAAATGGTAATTTGCATAATTTATGAAAATAATGTCAAAACTTTTTTAAAACTGTATTTACTTATAATTTTGACAGCCTAGCACAGTAGGTATCTCATTTAATGAAATAAAATAGTTAATTGATTGCTAAATAAATAATTTCACTCTTAACAATTTCATTCAACAAAAAAAAAATATCCTAGCAACAGAAAATAATACAAATGTAATGTAGAGGATGATATTCTGACAAAATTATCCTTATTATGATAATATATACACTGTATAATGTATGTGCTTCTCAGACTTAAGCAATAGAGAAATGTACACAAAATAGTCAATTAAGTCATAAATGTTCAGTAAATAACTAGCCAAGCTTTGATCTTTGAAAATTGTTTGATCCTAAAAATACAACAAAATAAAAATATCACTTATACATAGCTGTATATTGTACACTAATAACTGATATAAATAGTTACATATGGCTATACACATTATATGGAAATATGCAGAGAAAATTAAAATAAGCAAAACAAAAAATAATAATATAGCACAATAAACATAGTAGAAAAATCATGGCAATCGGCAATTTCAAAATTTTCCTTCCATTCATTTTTGTACAATGTATCAAAGTACTGTGAACTCCAGCATTATAATGCATTACAGCTCAAAAGCTTCCTGCAAATCATTGCATAATCATGTAAGTTGGTACCAAATTTGCATTATACTTCAAAAACAATATCATATCCTTGAAGAAGAATAAGAGAACAGTTGCCTCTGTTAATTTCTCAACTCCCTTTATAATCAACTGCCAATGACATAATTATTAAATTTAAGTAATATAATGTTCTTGGGTGATGTACCAAAAGCTGACAAAGGCAAATTCTTAACAGATCACATAAACATGATGGTGCTATGCTTTGTCAGTCATTAAATCAATATATTTCACATATAAAATCTTGGGATGAAAAAAATCGATGAAAAATATCAAAATTAGAAAATAGCTACTGGCCCTCTTAACAGAGTACTTTTGATTTTCAAATCTATCACTTCAATATGATATCTATAATCATCACATGATCCACTGAATTTTCTCTTTAACATATTCTTAAAAAACAAACTTGGCATTACCAGTTTCAAAAATGTATTAATTGATACCATATACAGCTGTATAAATTTCGTACTAATTATCAATAATTACATATTAAGACCATTTCTATATATAAGATGTAAATAAACAAAGAAATTCAAAATCAACAATAATATGAGCATTACTAAACCTATGGCTGTGGCATAATAGCTTTCTGCTTTTAAGTCTAGCTTTGTTGATAAATACAGGGCCTGTCTTATGACTGAGACAGTCTTATAAATGAGAATATAACAAAATCTTCCAACATGAGAAATTGCATATCTAACTTGTTGATGTATTGCTGGCAAGATGAAATAATAAAACTAACAGAACACTTTAACAGTAAAATTGATACTCGTATAAATCATCATCAAACAAACTTTCATACAAACTCATTCTTTCATCAAAATTCTTCATCTCTTAAACTGTACCTTGATTTTGAAAACAATGGTCAAACACTGTGTGATAACCTTTTGTTTTAATTAATGTTAAATGTTTTTCATTTCCTTTTTTTTTCATTTTTGTGGCACGAAAACTTGTAAAGCTTATAATGTTGATTCTATGGCTTAACTTTTTGTTGACTGTGCATTATTTCTGGTATGAACATGACAATAGGAAGAGTCACCGACTTGTAAGCTAGGCGAATACCTCCCTATTGTAGAATACAAATACATTTGTGGAATTCTGACTTGCTTTATCTGCACAATCATAAAGACCCTTTAAAGCTTTATTCTGCTTGGTCATGGAGACCTTACACAGTGTCCTGTTTTCACATGAAAACATTCTCACTTCTTAGAATATCATTTCTGCAAGCTTATTGCATATATCGAAAATCTTATTCAGATATTCAAGTTACCATGCTGACGATAAGCATGTCATCGAAAAATAAGGTACGTTCAGAGACTTTGAAACAATACAAAAAAATTTCATTCAAAACCTTACATGGTTATATTAAATGACTTTAACACAAAAGGCAGTAAATGTAATATTTTGTTATTTCAAATATGACCTTATAATTTGAAGGCATTGATTCAAGATTTATCAAACACTTTGTCATGTGAAAATATACATGCACACTTTTACAATGGGAATCTATACAAAATATATGACCAAAAAAATTCATGACATATAAATGAATAATATAAGGCAACAAGAAATCATTAACACAATTATACAAAAATTTAGTTCATTGGACAAATTTTGGGACATTTTTTCCCCTTAAAAATCTTTGTTCATTATCAAAATCAATGGCATTTTTCTTTCTTTCTAGAATAAAACTAAGGTATCACACAAAATACATTTAGTAGTTTCACTATCATTCTTCTAAAGATCACACAATTCTTTCATTGAACTATTTTGAAATATTTTCACACAAATTAATCATACTTCTGAATTATCTTCAGATATCAATACAGTTTATGTATATTGTATAAAGATTTGATCTTTATTGCCACACACACATTCAAATTCAATGTATTAAATGTCATTTAAAAGTTCGCAACAGTATGATTTAATAAGTAATTGAGCCCTCATTTCCTTGTATTTCTGTTAGAAAACATAAACACTATTGTTCTTACATATGAGCCATGTCCAGTGATTTTACTTCTTGTATACCAGACAACAATCCTTTTTTTCTAGAATATTTTTCTCTCTCTCTGCCCTTTAACTTTACCATTGCAATTTGAATTCAATAAATGCAAACTTACACTAAATAAGGGCAGAGTGCAGTATTTCTAAACAACAAGATCAGGTCAACATTTAAATCACGATGTTGTTTTATGACATCATTTCTGAATCCACAAGGACTAAAACAACAAGATGTGGCTCGTATCATTCTTCTTTGATTTATGCTCATTTATCAACATATAAGCTCTTAAAATATAAGTTTTATTTTACAAAATAACAAGACTTGTTACAAGGAATATATCTATTGTCTTTAGGAAAGTCATAGCAGTCTGGCATAATGATTAACATAATGGATTTTCTTTCAACACTAATTTTGAGACAATTATACATTATGCTACTCACATCTAAGAAAAAACATTGAGCATTTACTTGATATCAAAGGGAATTAACTCTTCTTTCCTTCTTGTGAAATTCAAAAAAAGGGAGATCACTCAATACTCATACATTGTAAACAATAGCAAAAACTGTTCATTCATCAAAACATTTATACGAAAAAAAAAAATAATACAAAAAATTCTGCCTAGGCTACATTCAACAAAAATATACATCTAACATGGACAATCATTGTATAAAAGCTATGCAGTAGCACCGTCCGATTTATCCCCTTGCCATCTTTTCTTATACTGCTGTCTACCAAAGCCTTCATCATAATTGCCTTTGCGTGCAAAAAGCTGCTTAAAGTGGTTTACACAGTATATCACTCCCTCATTCATGCTGAATGTTTTTGCCCTGAAAATGGAAGAAAACAACGGAAATTGAGAAAAATGATAAATAATTTACATAGGTTCACTGAAATTTATACATAAAATTTATACTTATTTCCTATTTGTTGAATACTGATGCATTTTAAGTTTATTTACAAGAAGAACGCAATTGTTTTCTTGTAGTTTATTCCTCAAAACTTCTTCAATTTTGAGAGGTAATTGTTTCAAAGATCCTATTTTTGGTACAGAGGCACATTATTAGTAAGCCAGGGTGGCAATAATTTCAGACATGTTAACATTTTAATCTATAAAATTCTGCATATGCAGTGGTTTAAAGTCACTCAAATATTTACAATTTTAGTTGACATTTAATCATAATGTCAAAGTAAATAACATTTTGAATGTAGCAAAGGAAAATTTTAACAATTTTTTCCCCCCAACTTTTTCCTTCCCATCAATCAGTCTTTGATTTCTGGCCTCATACCATATAAAGTTTTAGAAAGTTGTACAAAAACAATGTTCTATAATAATATTTTGCCATGTCATAGAAATATAAAAAAATATCAAAGTACAATGTTCTTCATATTATATATGATCTACTTACCTTCCAATGGAATTCGCTGAAAGCAATTTTCGCATTAAAAATATGCATATCTTAAAATCATACATTAAAAAAATCATGTCAGGAAGTGACAATCAAACAGAAAACTGTCTTGAAATCTCACGATGCAGATGTAAGGCAACATGCTGAAGAAAAACATGGCACTTACCTTGTAAACATTGTCTCGGTTTCTCTGTATAAGCATGATCCAAAATTTAAAATAGCACATGCATGTCATTATATACTGGATTCAAATACATATTAAATTTTGAAAATTAAGAAAATGAAGAAATATAATTATCAAGAGGCCCCTTTTTAAAGGTTTAATGTCATTTGAAAACAAAATATGCCATTTGAAACTTTGTAACCTTGACCAAAATAGGCCCTGACACTTTCTGTTGTCTGCTTCAATATCGCATAAAAGTCTTACCCCAAAAAGTCACCAAATGATTACAGGCTAAAAGTAAATAGCTTATTTATTGTGTGTCAAGATAATAGTCATTGCTTTAAGTCAGTATAACAATATTTATTATAAACACGCTTGGTATCATTTATTTCATAAATTATGGCTTTCTCATTAAACAGGTAATTATCCTAATGATGTCGAATGCTATAATTATCACTTATTTTTTTCATTTACCCATTGATTTTTTTTTCTGCTTTTGTATTTTGAATTTACTGACTAATATAATAGGATTCCAAGGTAAAAACTGCCAAAAATTAGAGTATAGTCATAATGCAATGTTGCCAATATCATCAATATTGTGCTTATTATTTAATCAACAACAGTATAGCCATAGATACTGATAGAGAGACATCATCCTTACTTAACATTCATTGAGTGACTAATACATTCTATAAATAAAACATATACATATTTTTCTCAGTGCCTACATTATATTATAGCTTCAGAGAGTCATCTCGGATGTAATATATATGTAAGTGATGGTTTATTGTACATATCAACGAGGCATTTATGATCCGATATGAGACATAAAATATGACAGAACAGAGCTGCCATCTATTATATTATGAACATTAACAACGACTACTGGACTGACAGTTATTTTTCTGGATGAATCAAACAGGTGTGTCTTAACCTTTAACCCTTACTTTCTATTGTTTACCAATACTTACATACTTCTTCCATAGTGCCAAAGCCTTCAGACACATTGCTTAATAATAACAACAACAAAATCTTACCTTCTTTTCTGTTGACTTTGTGTCAGACATTTGTGCAACTTACACCCAACTGCCACAAATTTGACAAATTACTGGTGTAAATTAGTGTCTGCTGTGTTCAAAAAGCCACTAACCATGCAAACTGATGCAGTCGGTGACGTAATAGCAGCAAAATATTTGGCAGTAGCTTTTCACATTGAAAGCTATCACAACATTTAAACAAAGAGTTAGTAAAAGGAAGATAGAATATACACGCAAAAAGACAAAAGAACTCTGGGCTCAAAATGCTCTACACAAAACATGCAATTATTTTTCTTCCCTTTCCTACCCCAAGAAAATTTTTACAAATTGCATAAATATGGCTTATAACTAACATACAAACTACCCAATTGAGTATTATCATCACTGAAACGAAAAATGGTATCGATAGTAATTGTTCCGAAGTTTTTCAGTTTTGCGTTATCGAGCAAAAAATGAGCCCAAAGTCGCACAAATCAATCTAGATGATTAATCTTACGTTAATCGTGCACTACAATGCGAGCATTTGAAGCAATTCTTATGATAAATATGGCCGTTCATCTCGAGTTTTTCCATAGCATACACGGTTTTCTGACATGCGGCACACTTTTCAGTCTGTACGACTTTGAACATTCCCTTTTCCTGTGTAAGTAGAACGAACACAACATAAGAATCAAACTCATTCAAAATGAACAAAAAAAAATTTAAAAACAAAAAAAACCCCACTTTCTAGCGATACTGCGAAAAAACTATTAACTCCATTCTCGTACATTCACTTGATTATTTATCATTATCTTTAAAAGAAAAATCCATTACAATTTTTTATTCATTAAATTGTTGTTTGATTTTATATTTTATATTCAGCTTCTGTGACAGTTTAAAACATAAATATTTTGTAACTTGCTATAAACCAAAACATCTTTAAAACAAAACAAATCAAAAAGAACACCTATAAAATGAAAAGAATCCATGAAAAAATATTTTTTATCACTGCACATGTACACACGTACACTTGAGATAATTATATCCAGTATATAGTGCCTAAAAACAACTTGTTCTCTCACAGTATACAGCCAAAACTGCTAAAAGCGAAACATTACAGTCAGAACGGAAAATGACGCAAATTATAAATAGTTGCCCGTCTATAAAATGTGTAGAAGCAAAAACCAACTATGTCTGCTGTAAGAAATCATACAGATTAATTCAGTATTCCACGAGTTTTATACAAAATGTGGTTTTCTAGAAAATAAAATATTTCCATGTAAAAACGTGAAGTCACAGAGACATCTGATTAAAGTAAGAAAGAGAAGTGCTGTGAATTTGTGAGTGAAAACTAGAGCTTTATAACCACAAAATATTGTGATGGTGTACCCGGTATGTAGACTAATGTACATTACTAAAGACTAAAACCTGAAGCTGATCCACTAAAGGGCATCAAAGCTTAGTTAAACATGTATAAGAAAGAGTGTTTCAGGAACAAACAAGATCCACTCACCAGTTTCTATGTAACTAGCAAGAAACTGGGCAAATCCACACTGATGATGGAAATGGTAGTTGTAATGTTAATAAAAAAATATGTTTTATCATAATGAGATAATGATAATATTGATGATTACTGACATTGATGATGAATTAAATCGATGATTATGATGATGATGACTGATATTGATTGATGAATATTAATAATGACTGCAGTGATGCTGATAATAATGCTGATAATAACAATGACTATGAAAGTAACAATGATGCTGATAAGAACAATGATGCTGATAATAACAATTATGCTGATAAGAACAATGATGCTGTTTATAATGATGCTGATGCTGATAATAACAATGATCCTGATTAAATCAAACAATTAATATCATAAAACTGATACTTAATGATGATATTAAATGAGAACAACTTATTTTTCACCCTTTGCAGCTGTTTCATAGAATAAACCATCATGTATCACAGTGTAACCAGTGACAAGAATCATGATTAAACATGACAGATTTTCCAACAGGTATTTCAAATATGAAAAAAAAATAGTCTTATGTAACATTAAGGGTGCACAATCAATGTAATTTTGTATACAGGCAGTTAAACAGCTGTCAGTAATCACTGTGATCTATTCAGGAACATTTGGATATAAATAGATACCATCATCTTCTATTATATATAAGGCATTTAGCTATAACAATAAAATTCCAGAGATAACTTAATTAAAAGATCCCAAAAAACAAGCATTGTATGATACAAGTAGGTGATGTTTTATGAATTTTTACACAAAGAAGTATTTTGATAAAAATAATCTTCCTGATGTTGCAGTAGTAAATACATCTTTTGCTCAAAGATTTCATTGGGTTTCTAAGAAATAGCTCATACTATGTATTGAAACCAAGTGTTACTTATATTTAACATTACTATAATCCAAAACAGCTGATAAGCCTTATGTATTAATGATTCATATAAGAAACACTTTATGGTTAACCTGCTACATGTATAGTATAATGCATCTACATGTATAGTATAATGCATGTCCAGCTTTGAATTTAAAACAGACCATTCAAATTTAAACAGATTTCATTATCAAAATAAAACTGACAAGGCCATAGGCCACTGAAGTTAGAACCTTGTTTGCCCCGACTCACACAGTTCTTGACAGGCTCATCTAACTCATGGAATTTTATTAGATAAAATATTGTAAAACCATTATAAATGTTTATGTAAAATCTAAGCTCTAACTATATGTTTCTTAAAGCAGATTGATTACAGTTCTAATACTATAAAACATAAAGTAATAATACACCCCTGGCCGCCAACTTTGACAAGGTTTCATTTGAACACTGTATTAAAGACATTACTGATAAATTTCAAACAACATAATTAATTTCATCATAACTGCATAACTTAATTTGGAGATTAATAAAAAATTTTAATTATTTGCATACATTTACAATATAATGACATAGTATCAATGCAATTTTACAACTGAGGCTAAAAATTGATCAACTAGCAGTCAAACAGTACATGTATAGAACCTGGTCAGACTACTCTGGCATGGAAATTTTAAGATTCAAAACATCATGTAAAACTCTTTCAATGTTTAAGATCCCATATATATTTTCTTTAAAAAATGATTACCAGCTAATCACTTTAAATAGAAGTATATACCTACCCCCACCCACACCCCATAAACAACTGTACTAAGTTAACTCTCAACCTGATCATTACAATGGACATTATGACTCAAATTTGAACAAACAACCCCACCCTTCATTACATTTCATCCATAATGTCCAGTTTAAATTGCTCAATTCTGAAGGCAATCTGAATAAAAATTCTATTATTTGAATACATTTACAATATAATAGATGCATTGTCCACGATTCCCCCACATCAAAATTCTCTTAATCACTAGCTATAAGTTTACTATAGTGACTCTATTATAAGCGGACGAGACATGCACTTGGTCATTTAATACCCAGTTTCGGTCTTATTCTAATTACAAGAATAGCGGATGTAAGAGTATTTTCATTTGTAATCCTACACAATAAACTTTAAATGAATGATGTTTGATGTTAAAGCTTATAAAGCACAGTTTGGTGACATTTATTTCATTAAAATGACTTAATTTTTATACATTCAAATGATATGGTTTGAAAATGAAGTTTGTATGGTCTGGAAGTAAAAGGTAATTGGTCGGTCTTTTGATGAACAAAGAAAATGTTAGGAAGGTGTTTTATTTCCACAGGCATAATAAAACAATTAAATCAGCCTATAAAAAGCATGCTTTACCTGGCATACTAAAAATATTTAGGTTGAATCCAAGAAAATGCAATATGTAAAGTTTTTAATACTTTTGGATATTTGACCGCACTTCTTTTTTTTCTTTTTTTTAACAAGTGAAAAATGTATCAAATCATTATCGTGTGTCTCAATACCTTGAGTAAACTGTTCAAATACTTATAAGAAATTGGAAACAAGTATTTACTTTGTTTAAAGTTTAACAATAAGAAAAGTAGGTTTGTTTATGTGGTGTGGAAGGAGGTGACTCAATATCCCTACAAACTGTCCCATTCAGTCAAATACTTGAAATTTGACCGTCTGCATTCATACTTATTGTCTTAACTTTTGTTTAAATTTCCTGACATGCAGGACTAGTTTATTTTTAAAATTTATTTATTTTCCTTCTTTGTTTCTTGCGTGATATAACATCACGTTTGACCAGTAGTTCTTCTACAGTGTAATTCCTATTCAATCACAGAAGAAAACTCTTCATTAAAGGAGCTCTTCAGACTGGAGGTACAATTATTCACAGTAATAAGAAACAAGAGCACAGAACCCATAATGCATTATTGACTGAACTCTTCAAAATTGGAGTCTGACAAATCTATTCATTACTATTGCCCATATTAGGTATAATATTCCCCGTTCAATACATGTACACAAAGATAGACTGGATGAGTAATAATACTGTGTATCAATATATATATAGGGAAATGAAATATCGCTGTACTTCCAGGTGTCCCAGATGGTGACCATGATTGATCAGATATTTTAACCGAATAATGGTAGCATCATAATACTGTATCATATACATTGTACATCTAAAAATTAGTATAACCAACCGTCTTAATCATTATAAAAACAGGATCGACCTTTCATTATTGTTTATGAAAACCACAAATACTTTTTACATAATAGACTCACTAAATCTTAATATCAAAATAAGAGATATATGTAAAGACCAGAAATGATTTTTCAAACCATGAACTTGCTGTCACAAGGTGATCTATCAAATGGCAAGTATCTTATCCAAAATACATGTATATATTGCACAAGGCTATGATGAGTAAACTGTCTGGATATATGTATATGTAAATGCAACATTTTAAGGTCTATATTTGTTTGTCTAGGCTTGTTACATAACCTTAGCAACTCATAACCTTAGCAACTTCTAACTTCAGAATTCATAAAAAATCAGCAGTCTCCATCCAATTATTATACTGGTATTATACAGTTAAAGAACACATAATATATCCATGTACATATAACTTACATTAAAAAAATTTGTTACTTTTAACATAAAATACCAAATACTCACTCAAATGAAAAAGAAAGGATTAAATATCATAGTATCTAGAAATGATTCATGTTGAAATGGTAACAGAACATCTATCAATGTACAACATGACTTGACAAAGGGCAGAAACGAATTTCTATCCTAAAATCATAGCAAGCAAACCAATTTAACATGTACACTAGTTCATGTTTTAGTTGGTAAAAGCAGAGTAATTTTCTGCCGACTGAGTGAGGTTCCTTTTTCCAATATATTAATTTTGTACATGACATTTTAAGAATTTTACCATATTTTAAATGTGCAATGTGCAAACTGATGTACTATACATGTACTATTCAACATTTGGTTGTATGCATATGTTATGATACTCATTATAGTGTGCCTATACTATTATTATATCATATATTACAAGTTTAAAATGCCTTGAGGTGGAAAAATACTATATTCACCACTCCTTTATAATAAAAAGATGAAACACTGATATACAAAGATACAAGGGACAAAAATTGTACAAAAGGATATTTTAAGATTATTCATCACAAGAAAACAATTATTCAACCTTTTTGTATTATAAAATAAATGGGAGAAAGAGTGACAAGGTCAGCTGTCGGCCAATTCCAAATATTTACGTTTGACATTAAATCCTTACAAGTACTACTAAATAGCTCATTCTTTCAGGTCAAATACCAATTACTTTATAACCAGTACTGTACAGACATACCATTTATAATAAAACTTGTAATAAAATGATTAAATCTATAAATCAAATCATAACACCCTGTCTAAATCTCAAAATCCAATTGTTTCTAAGTAAATATGTTTCAAGTACATGTACTTCAAAGTTTACAAAATTGAGTTATAACTGCATGTGGTGGAAAAACAAAAGATGTTTTTTACAAGTCCAGACATCTAGAGAAAAATTACCAACAAAGTAATACACCAACACACTGAAACATTACTTATTCAATGAATTTGAATAAAAATAATCCAAGCGCATGGACACATACTACATGTACCAAATTCATTTTTTCCAAAATCCCTATACAATCAGACTGCCAGAAAAAAAACAGTCACTTGAAACAAGAACAAAGTATTCTAAGCAGATGACCAGTCTCAGGAACTATCAACAACCATTTTATCATCATATCATCACTAATTTAAATATATAGTAAACACACTGATTCAGGACTATTTGTTTCAGAAATGAAGTTATATATGACTATAAGACTGGTACTTTAACAGAAGTATTGAAGTTTTGAGTATGAGAAAGCCTTAAATTTACTGAAATTCCATGAAAATTATCCCCCCCCCCCTCAAAAAACAAAAAAATAACCATGTAATTTTCTGCTAACATCTGTGCCTCCTGCAAGATAATTAAACTTTTATAATAATTAGTTTGTCATGGAAAATTCATATCATTTGCATGAAATTACTACCGATTTTATTACATTATAACATTTGCACTCACATACATGTTATGCTGAATCATTTCCTATCTGTAAGACATGTGATTCTGGGTCATTACCCAAAACAGTTTTTATGCAACAATGATATGTTTTGACTACTAATTACATTCAGGTATTTTTTCAACCAATAAACATTACAATTTTAACCAGTTATAACTGAACTTGGCCAAAGCTGGGAGTTAATTATTTTACTCCTGAAAGCTGATTAACCTTCTGACCCATGGCATGGTTATGCTGCAATGGCCATAAAAACTCTGAGAATTTAATCACACCAACTTGGCATCATTTTATGTAGGTGAAATCGTGGGATTTTATACTGAACCAATTCTATACACATTTGCAAACAATTGACTCATTAACTGTGATATAAAACTATACCTTTCTTTGAACTGGTGCACCAAATTTTGAAATAGAATCTTTAACAGTGTTATTGTTTTGTTCTGGAAGGCCATCATTTTCTTTGTTATTGTACTTTTTGTCATCTCCATTTGGAATGTGTTTTTCTGGAACTTCCTGAGATTTTTTCTTCTCTGTAATGGGAGTAGAAACAGGAGCCTTTTCTGCAGTGTCGTCCTTCTCTATGATTTGTATGTCTATTTCATTATCTCTCTCTTTTAAAATATCTTGATTGCCAACTACCCCATTTTCGTTTTCTTTATTTTTGTCCTCTTCTTTATCTTCCTGAACTTCATCAATTTCAATTTCCTGAACATCAACTTCCTGAACATCATCAATTTCAACTCCCTGAACATCATCAATTTGAACTTCCTGGTTTCTCTCTTTTTCATTATAGTCATCATTTTCAATAGCATTGTTTCCAACATCTTCTACATCTTCCACTGCATTCTTACCCATATCTTCTTCAATTTCAACTTCCTTTTCTTCTTCCTTGTCAGAGTGTTCTGAATCTGCCTTCTCCAGTGTACCATCATTTTGCACCTCAGTCTCCACTTTGTCATCTTCTTCATTTTCTTTGTTAATTTTATCATCATTTTGAATCTCTGCTTGGTCATTATCTTCAAATTTATTCTCAGCTGTGTCATCATGTTCAACCTCATTGCCTACCTTCTCATTGTTGTCAGCCTCAACATTGTCTCCATCCCTATCAATATCATCATCAACATTTTCATCATTCTCTTTTCCATTCTGGTCATTTTCTTCAACAGCTTCTGGTTCCGATACTTTTACTTTATCATCGCCACTATTCAATTCTTCAATGACAACTTCAACATCGCCACCACCTAATATTTCCTGCTCATTTTTTTTACTTACACCTTCAGCTTCCATTTTTAATCCTTTTCACGTCTGCTTCAGTATAACAAAAATTTAAAATGGTCTGTATAGCTGCAACCTCAACAATTATTGAAAATCAACTAAACTACAATAATAACGATTACAACACCAATAAATATCACTAAAATTACTTGAAAACTGTGCACAAGTATAATTTCCTTTGTTGTTTATCAGCAGTTCGGTGTCAATAATTTGTCCTCTTAGAAACAGTTCTATGACTGACTCATCTATGATCAGCTGTGACTGGGAGTTTTGAAATAATCAATACCGAATATGAAAAATCGGAGCAGAAAATGCAGAAAATACACAAAAAGATCCGCCTCAGAAAGCCAACAATCAATGAATAGTGCTGTGTGATTAGTGATGACACTTAAATATCCAGTTCGATGAAAGGCCGCGATACTTATGATAGATTTCCCCCTCTAAACGACACTTAATACTTTCCGGCATATACATTCATGTATAATTGTCATATATTATTACTACCATATACAGTATAAAATTTGGTATTGTACATGCACTCTCTATCGGTCATGTGTTGTAAATCCTATAAAGATCAGAAACAATTTAAACTTCTATTGTATTACTCGCCCCCCCACAAAAAGAAATAATTCCTCCAGTCAGCAGTTTAAATAAATATGGTCTAGTTTCATTGAACAAATCTCAATGAATGCTCTGCTCAGTTACGTATAACAGTATGTGTTGGTGGAGGGGGAGAGGCTTTTAAACCACGTGTTCACTGGAGTATGTCCAGACTGACTACATGAGTAACTAGACTTGGCTATTTTTAAGGCCAACCTTAAATAATTACAAAAGGTTGAGTTTCAATTAATTCAAACAAATCGTTTAGTTTTATTGAAAATGTTTGAATTTTTTTTTTTCATATAATTTCTTTTGCTTCCTATAATGAATAAGTCAAAAAAAAAAACAAGATTGCATTTGAGAAAAATGCTATTCCACCGCATTAATACAACACTAAATAGTAGTGTTGGAACAGATTTTTTTTTGTTTCTATACAATTTTGAAGATTGTCATAATGCATAGATCCCTGACCTATCTTATTCTTATTATCAGATTAGTGGTTAAATCTGTTGATAACTCAATAAAAGATCAGAGTAGGAATATATCAATGCACTCGAGTCTAGTGAATTTGGTGGTGAAGGTCATATTTCACACAGCCTAAATTTCATGACTACATCAAAGAACAGTAAGACACTTTGTCAAAATCTAGGTCAGCTGAAATCAAAGTTCACTTTACGTCTTAATCTGTGCACATAGTTCAAATTTCATAGCTGTACATCAAAGGACAAGAAAGTAGGTCACATCATCAAAAATCTAGGTCACCTGATATCAAAATTCAATTTTACAACTAAAACTGTGCACATGGTCAAAATTTCATTGCTGTACATCAAAGGACAAGAAAGTAGGTCACTGTCCCCTTGGGCAAGGCAAAATTTTGGACCCAAGGGTTTCATTCAAAACAATCTTGATACAGGTCCACCGAACAACATTTCGAGTCAAATATCTAAGCTGTAGCTGTCTCCCATTCAGAAAACATTTGTTTTATTTTCTGTTTTTACTATGTGTACATAATGAGAATCACTGCCCCCGGGCAGGGCCAATTTTGACAGCAGGGGAATAATTTGAACAACTTTGGAAGAGGACCTATAGATGATATTATATAGCAAACATCGAAGCTCTATGCCTTGTACCTTCAGATAAAAATATATTTTTTTATTGTTTTACTATATATATATCTATGTATATATATATACATATAAGGAAAGCCTATGGCCCCCTGGGCGGGGCTAATTTTGACACTAGAGGCAAAATTTGAACAACTTTGGTAGAGTTCCTATAGATGATATCATTTAAAAAATATTTAAGCTCTAATAAAGACAATAAGATTTTTTACTATAAGTATATATTGAAGATACATATAAGGAAAACTAATGACCCCCCGGCGGGCCGATTTTGACCCCAGGGCTATAATTTGAATAGTCTGGGTAGAGGTCTACCAGGGCTATAATTTGAACAATCTTGGTAGAGGTCTACCAGACAATGCTTTATGCAAAAAATCTAAGCTCTAGGCCTTTTCGGTCTTTACAAGAAGGTATTTTAAGTTTTTACTATATGTACATATAGTGAAAATCAATGACCCCCGGGGCGGGGCCGATTTTGACCCCAGGGCTATAATTTGAACAATCTTGGTAGAGGTCTACCAGACAATGCCTTATGCAAAAAATCTAAGCTCTAGGCCTTTTCGGTCTTTACAAGAAGGTTTTTTAAGTTTTTACTATATGTACATATAGTGAAAATCAATGACCCCGGGGCGGGGCCCGATTTTGACCCAAGGGCTTTAATTTGAACAATCTTGGTAGAGGTCTACCAGACAATGCCTTATGCAAAATATCTAAGCTCTAGGCCTTTTGGGTTTTACAAGAAGATTTTTTAAATTTATTCTTATAATTCCTTTTGGTTACCATGGCAACCAGATTTCTGCATGGAATGAAATTCTTTGAACAACTTTGGAACCCCTTCACCCAAGGATCAACCCTGCCAAGTTTGGTTGAAATTGGACTAGTGGTTTTTCACAAGAAGATTTTTTTAGTTCACTATATAATCTATATAACACACACACACACAAACAAACACACACACACACACACACACACACACACACACAGGTGAATCGCTATATGCCACCGCATCGCAGATGCTGCGGTGGCATAAAAATCACAAAAGTTAACAAACTAACAAAACTCAGGCAAAAACTCTTCTTGTATCTTTTTTTAATTCAAATTATAAACTAAATACATAAGGGATTAATTGTACAATTAATTAAGTGAATAAATGCCTGCAGCACTCTCTTCAGAATAATCAAGATTAATCAGGTGAGGTGAAAAGAATTGATCAGGCTCATAAGGTGGTATGGAAAGGTGTAAAACTGGAAGATGTATCAGATATTTATTTGTATAAATAACAGATATATATCATCCTTTGTACTTAAATGTCAAATCATAACTATTTTTATGATGTTACAATAAATTAGTAATACATTTGAATACCTAACAGAAGGATTGGTGGTGTTTAATCAAGTGTAGTGAGAATGATTATGACTATTTCAAAACTTGCAAAAATCATTGCCACGCTGCAAAATGTATCATCATTTTTGAGTATTGAAATATAGCAATTTATTAACCCTTTTCTAGCTGACCTTTAGCAACAAATAATTCCTATCAAAAAAATATTTCAATAACAGGAATTGATGACACCAACTTGATTACTAACCAGCATTCAGAGAAACCTAATCTTTTATGTGCTGGAACCAAAAGTGATCATTTTCTTCCACCAGTATATAGAGCCAGGCCAGAATGTAAACCCGAGACTCTTTACTGTTAGTAGCTCATTTTTCATATTTTGTGATTGAAATCCCCTAGAATTCAAATGGACAGTCTCAAAAACAAGGCAAATCCATTATACAAATTCAACTGGTTAAGGGCTTTGACTTCTGTGCATTCAAAGTGAGTTTGTGTGTGTGTGTGTCTGTTTTTTTTTAAACATTAGATTTTCTAGAAACTATATGATTTATCCAGGGCAAAGCATAAAATTTTCTTTAGCATACATAGTAAAAATATCGCATTACTATAAACTGTATTGCCATGGAATGTTAAGTACTTCTTTTCATATATTTGTTATCTGGAGAAGTTTCATCTCGTAAAATGGTTTCCTGCTCAAGACAGACTGAGCTTTTGTATGCAAGGTCAAAGTTGCATTTTAAGGCTACACATGCCTTGCCCATCATAGACATCATATTTTTAGTTCAAATCCCCAGAAGTTTGGACAGAATTTAAAAGGAAAATGGCCAATTTTAAAGATGGGAAATGAAGGCCACTTGTTTAGATAGTCATGCTCACTTGTTAAAGGCCACATTTTTTAGATAGAAATGAAGGCACTTGTTTAATTAAACATATAAGAAAGGCCACTTATGAAGATAGCTAACGAAAACCATTTGTTTAGAGAAAAATGATACAGAAAATGAAGTACGTACACTTGTTAAGACAGAAAACGAAGATCACTTGTTCAAATAGAGTATGAGCAAAGAAGGTCCCTTGTTCAGACAGAAAGTAAGGACAATTGTGAAAAGAAATTGCAAGTAATTTAAAGAGAACAGAATCCAGGAACGCTGGCTATAAAGTAATGTCCTATACAGTATACTTTACATGTCACAAAATGTGCTAGATCACACATTTTAAAAAACAATGTATTTATACAAATTCTTTTCATAACAAAAACAATGACTGTCTATATACATACTTTATCCTTTCATCATAAGGTTTTTTAACTTAAAAACAATTCACAATAAATATTTTTCATGAGCAATGAAATTTTTGCGAAGCATGTTTTTCTTTTCCGTCTTCAAAGTAAAAATCAAGACTTGTAAACATGAAAATAATTCAAATTCTGCTTTTTTTATGCAGAGTAATAAGAACAAGAGAGAAAAGGAAATCAATTCTTTTTCTAAGAAAAAGCACCCTGGATGAACAAGTTTTGTCACGTGACCACAAATGCAAACGCCGATTTTACATTTCAGCAATTACGGACCCGATTTCAGGTAAAATTTTTGAAGATATCTTTTTTTCTACTGCATCCACAAAATTATGACCTAGACCTTAGGACCCGGCGTTAATTGAGCTTTTATTTTATGTATGTAGTAATTGCGAGGCTTTTGTTATTTTTTAGAACACTTCGACACAAATTTTCTTTTTGGTAGGCAAACGCCGATAGGTTTTACCTTTTCTAATCTTTTTTGTTTACTGGAAACCTATGTTGAGGGAAAATAATAGAAGATATATGTTTTTTACAAGTAATTTTCGTACCTAACTTATTCATAATTTCATTAGCAAGGTTATATTCGAGATAAACCCATGTTTTCCACTTGTTGTCGATTTTGCAAACGTCGTTTGATTATGTAAAATGGGCAAACGTCGGTTGGTCATTTTAAATATATGCAAGCACCCGTTGATGTCTTTTTGAACGCTGAACTATATTTGTCTCATTTCCAGAGTTCTTCATCATATTAAACAATTTCATTGCAAACTGATTCTAATAACATTTTGGCCACTACGCCCATGGTTTCCAGATTTATTGAATCTGTCGGAAGCTCAACCGTTATGTCTTCTATTGGTTACAAACGTGTTACAACAACCAAAATCTCAGATATGTCATCCAAATCCAGGTGTTCTGAAATTGACTGCATGGTTGCTATCGACAGACAGTTTAGAGAAAAAGGTTTTTTCAAAACTTCTTACAACCAGCTGGAGAACTGGTACTTAGAAAGATTACTCCAGTAAATTAAGACAATTTATGATATGGTGTCGTCAAAAGAATATTGATTCCTTCACAGCACCCTTAAACACTTGTGCTGAGTTTTTATCAGATTTGTGCAATAAAGGTTTACAGTAGGTTACCGCTCTATTTATCTGCAGTTTTACCTCCAGTAGATAGCACACCTATTGGTCAACATCCGTTTGTTATCAGATAATTAAAAGTATTCAATTTAAGAACTCCTGTAACAAATTCGTTGCCTGAATGGGATTTGCCTAAAGTTCTTAGTTCACTACAAACATTTCCTTTTGAACCTTTGAGAAAAACATCAATTGAATTTTTAACATATAAAGTTGTTTTTCTTACAGCTATCACGACATTCAGGGGAGCCAGCCACCTTCAAGCATTAACATTAGGAGGAGCTATTTCTGTGAAGGCAGATGGGGAAACTTTTAGCAGACAAGGTTTGGCTAAACAGGATAGACCTGGTCATTCATCAGCAAACATTTTTGTACCAGCTTTTAAGACCATCCAA